CCTTCTTGGGGGCTCTAGCTCACGGAAATGCCATCTAGAGCCATGCCCTAACGGTGCTCGGGGCTCCACGACCAAGCGTTAGGTGGTCGGTCGGAAGTCCAGGGCCAGCATCCTGAAACAAGCCGCATTGACCACGCACCCACGCAGGTGGGAAACAATTAATTTTTTGACATCGTTCCATTGTGCGAGGGTGGCCACGGTTAGCCGCACACGACGGGAGCTGTCAGTTGCTGCAGACGTCCACGGAGGCATTGTAAAATAGGACGTCGCTTGCTAAAAGTAGAGAAAAGCGCCTTCCTGGTGGAATGAGAAACGAATGGCTCCCAGCCGTTGTCGATGCACTGCTCTCCAAGCTGTTGTCAATCAAACACGCGTAGGACGACATGGAGGACCACTACCACGGTATCCCCGCCTGGCAATCCCGGAAGAGGTGGGAAAGGCCACCAGCTCAAGGCTTCAAGGTCACACTTCCACGCACGACGTTCGAGAATCGTCACCCATAATTTGCAACGCATGTGGGCGGTGAATTGTGTACCTTTGTACATCGTACTGTACCATTGTTCAAAGTGTGGCAGACTTGGAAAAGCGCTTAGAAAGGCAGGGAAACAATCATGTCTAGCCAGGAAGCTAGAACCTAGCGATCCGGTCTGCCAGACTGCACCGTTTTTGTCCTTAAAAGCTAGCGGCCCGCGTGGGATACCAGTACGCACCTGTAAGCCTGGCACCCAGCGCCGTGGCAGAGAAAAGGCCGAGTCCTAAAGTGAGTTTGTGGTTTAGCTTCCCCGAATTTTGCCTGGACAAAGTTGACAACCCAGACTGCATCTCCATATCCGTCTCCGTCGACGACTCTCTCACCCTTCTTCCCAGTTCCCTTCCGCGGCCACTGCGTATTGCCATCAATTGCCTGTTCCCTCTCTTTCCACCCGCGTCTTGTTAATTACCTGGGGGTTGAGAAACGTGGGGCTGTATCTATCAATCCATCTTCCTCGCCAGTTCTGCAATCACCTATCCCAAGCAAGTGGAGTTGGGTTGGGTTTCTGCTTTTTCTGGCTCGACATTTGCCTGGTATATTGTGGACTGCGGCCGAGTGTTGAGGCCGTTGGCTGACTATCCACAGTACAGTTCGGAAATCTTGATAGCACAATAATTTGTCCGCTTGTCGTCTCTCGACGTGTGCCCTCACTTCGAGCTCACCTGATCGCTTGTACCGAAATTCCGTCGCAGCCCAGCATGACGACCCCGGCCACCCCAGTCCCCAAGCTCGACCGCTACGTCGTCATCCATGTTGCGACAACATGCGATGAGCATGGTGTCTATGTCACAAAAGATTCTGCAGAAGTGATTGAATTGGGCTGGATCTTGCTCGATAGTAAGACTTGTGACGAGGTATGTCTTCTGGCGGCCATACCACTGAGAGGAGGAAACAAAGGAAGGCGGATGAAATGGACGGTCCAGCTAACGGAAGAGCCAGATCTACCGCGAAAGTGTCCTTGTCAAGCCCGTGAACACCCCCATCACTCCTCTTTGCAGTGAGTCCCTTTTTGTGTCGGAAAGACGGAGATTCGCATGAACTGACCTTGCAATTACAGCCAGCCTGACCACTCTGACCTGGGAACATGTTCGCAATGCCGGGTCCTTCCGCGATGCAGTTACTCGGTTCGACCATTTCGCTCAGGAGCATCTCACTTCCAAGAATCTGGAGTTTTCTTTCGTCACACTCGATTCCTGGGACCTGCGGGTCCAGTTGCCGCGTGAAGCTCGCGACAAGGCAGTCGTCCTACCGGCTTACCTGCAACATTCCCGAACCTTTGACTTGCGCTCAGAGTATGCCCGATGGCAGCAACACCACCCAGAGTCCCTCCCGTTCGGGCCCAGCTCCCTGGCCAACATTTGTGCTGCCCTAGAGGTGGAACCTGTGCAATCGTCGGCTCCAATCAAGCACAACTTACCCTTCCACCTGCAGGCGTTGGCGCCTGCCTCCCCCCGTCGTGCCATGGAAGAGGCCGTCACGCTTGCCAGGGTGTTGCGAGGCCTCATTCGGAAGTCTCAGCCCGCCCACGAGCATCCTGACGTCTTGACTCGCCCAATGGATGCTAGAGCTGATGTAAACGCATTTTTGAAAGAACGGAGTAAAGTCCTCCACATGAACGGGTTGCCACACGACACGACCCAGTCTGAACTCGAAAGCTGGTTTACCCAGTTCGGGGGAAGGCCCATCGCTTTCTGGACCCTTCGGACGCCCGATCAGCACAAGCCTACAGGTTCAGGTTTCGCCGTCTTCTCTTCACATGAAGAGGTATGTCTCACTTTTATTTCCCAGTTCTTTTCACCTCTGCCCGCACTCAGTTCAACCTCTCATGCTGCCTACTTCGCCTCCCCCATTGTCACTCACCTCACCTCACTTGAACCTCACTTGACATTCAGATCTTGTACTGACATCATGACGGTACAGGCAGCGGAAAGTCTCTGCATGAACGGTCGTGCCCTCAGTGAGAAGGCTATCGAGGTCTCGCCTTCTTCAAGCCGAGTCCTCGATCGTGCTGCTGAGATCCTGACGCCTTTCCCTCCAAGCAAGAACCGTCCCCGACCAGGTGACTGGAACTGTCCTTCATGTGGCTTCTCGAACTTCCAACGCCGCACAGCCTGTTTCCGATGCTCCTTCCCAGCTGGCGGTGCACCTGGCGTTGACCCATACTACAATTCGTATGGTGGATACGGACCTCCTCACATGATGGGCGGCCATCATCACCACATGGGACACCATGGACACGGACATCACGGACGAGGTGGAGCTGGCATTGTCCCTTTCAGAGCTGGTGACTGGAGATGCGGTGCTGAGGGCTGCCAATACCACAACTTTGCGAAGAACGTTAATTGCCTGCGCTGTGGTGCTCCTCGCGCTGGTGCCGCAGTTGTGGTCGATTCGGCTTATCCCTCCCCGATGGCACCACCTTCGGAGTATGGGATGGGACCAGGTTCAATGGCCAGCACTCCCGGACCTGCCCCCTATGGACCTGGTGCTGCCGCATTCGGCTCTGGCGCAGCTTTCGGTCAGCCGCCACCACATCAGTATGGAGTGCCTTCTGGCATGGGAGGCCCGCCAGCGGCTCCATTTCCTCAGATGGGCAGCATGACTCCTGGATATGCCCCGAGCAACATGTCTCATTCCTCATTCGGCCCTGCTGCCCAAGCTGCTTTCAGTGGAGCGGCTGACACGAATGCACCTGGCAACGTCCCACACAATGGCTTCTACAGCAATGGACCTAGCGCTGACCCTTTCGCTTTTCTCTCTACTGGCATGGAAAACATGGGCCTTGGTACTGAAGACTCACAACACTCTCGCCGCAATGGTGGCCCTCAAAGTGCGAAGAGCCCTGCCTAAACACCACAACAGCCATAACCTTATCCCCGGATCCACGATTCAATACCACTGGAGTTCATTCATTGACCACTTAACGACTTGCACGACGTATTTCATGTTTGAGCAACAGTGTTTTGCCTTTCTTCCCACTTCGTGTGCTTTGACTCTTTGCGGAATCAATGGACATCTGTTTACTAGCTTTTGTGGATACTGGCGGGCGGTGCTGGTGGCTGGCTGTTCCAGAGGTTGATCTTTGCGGGATAGCGATGGCAATGGGACAGTCTTTGCATATGATGGACGACCTAGAGGACTTGGCTTGCTGTTTTGCTAGGATCAGGGGGTTTGGGGATCCCGAAAGTCCTCGAGACTGCGACGAATCGTACAATGTGTGGCCAACAACGGAACATGGAGGCCTAGAGAAAACACCGGGTAAAAGGCAAGGACAAAATTGTTTGGAAGCGAGGGATGTGTATGTGTCGTCAGGAGTGTCGGTCTGCACACTGTCATGTGTATGTTGCTGTTGTCTATGAGCTATTGTCAGCATAGCGAAGGAGCGTGGAACAAAGGAACGGAAAATGGCAAAAGTCGTCGAGAGTATCAAGCATGGTATTGAACAGAACAAGTGGACTAGGGTCTAGACACAGCACGCCAATGTTGTTTCAGTATGATCTCAAGACAGCATGTGTTTGCGGTCACGGTGTTGATCACCCACTCGAAGGTTCATGCCAGACACGGACACTCGACAGTAGAGCAAGACGATGCCAGGCAAGGTAGCTAGGGGTAGTTCTCATCGTATCGGGTCGTACAACTTAATCGTGAATGATATTCAAGGTATTTTAGTGAACAGTGGGGGCAGAGCATGTAATTGTGCGTGCCCAGATGGTCATGCAATGTCTGAGGAATGGGCACTAGGGGGGGTTGATTGGTCGGGTTGTGTGTCGGGGCTAGATATCTACATAAGGAGAATTGATTATGTGGTGGGCACCCATACTGGCCTCGTTCTCTTTCTCTGTCGCGCTTCTCTGTTCCTGCTTCCCGCCTTTTCCAAATAGACCCCATCCGGACCAGGAAGAAAGTGATATCGCGTATCGGCCGGTGGCGGGTGAGGTCTTGGTGACTCATTCTCGAGAGACACGAGCTCATGTAGCCAAACAGTCGTCGCTGTTCGTCCGAGCTTGACCTCTTCAAGCCCTTAATGTCTGACTGGCTGGCCTCAGGATGCGTAGTTTGGAGGGGAATTCTGGGCACGTGCTAGACCGCTAAACGTATATGGTGCAATTCCCCAGCTGGGTAATCTTCCACTTCGGCTTCGATGCTTCCCTTTCATAGGCCCACTCATCTCCCACTTCAGAGGCGGATTTGGAAAACTATTTCTTCCCTCACTCGGAGGCCGCGGATAGTCAGACTCGTCCATTAAGAGGCCGCTGTCATTGTCCCGAGGCCTTTTGTAAGAATCTCCTTGACGGAAAAGCTAAGAATTGGCTCTTGTGCTCAAGTTCATGGCGTCCGCAATCACTTGCTCAGTCATGAGCTTCTGGGCATGCATCGTTCGCATCACCTGTTCCTTTCTCCGGTTGTCGTCCACTTGATGTGGAGGGGGAAAAGCCAGGAACTGCTCCGCAGTACATATCCAGCCATGCTATCCCTGGGTCTGTACTTGCTGAACAGCAGTGGCGTGGTTGACGACAATCTGCAGGACATCTCGATCGCTCTGTTCTAAGATGGCCGTCAGATTCTCATACAACTGAGGTTGCTCTGCCTGGAGCTTGCCGAGAGAGTCCTTGAACGCCGAATAGGGATCAAACTTGTCGAGAGGGCTCTCCAGCAAACTGTCGTCGTCAAGTATGCTATCATCGTCGTCATCGGCCAGTGCTCCAAATTTTTTGGCCTCCTCGCTGAGAAAGTCCAGGTAGGCTTGCGACTCGTCCTTGATATCGCCTTTGGTATCCGGCAGTGTTGCCGCGTCGACATGGCCCCATTCTTGGCCTTCAGCGATAGGTTCCTCCGCCCAGTCTTCCGTGTCTTCTTCAGACCCGTAGTCTGATATCGTGTCGGAGATGCCGTCCGAGGCTTTGACGGCATCCTCTCGCTGCTTCATTGCGGCTGGAAGCGTTCGGAAGAGGTATGTTGCGCCAGTGAGAAGGCGAGGCCACCCGGTCTGGACAGACTGAGGTACTTGATCAGCGTGGATCGTGAGAAGTGAGCAGATGGCCGCAAGAGAAAGCTTCTTGTCGTGGACACGACGGAAATTATCGATCATGCCGAACCAGATCGAGAAGAATTTGTTCGTCCAGCCATGGGATTCGAGGACGTGTAATGCCAGGATTGGGTTGTAGTATAGGGCATTGATAACCATCTCTACCAGATGAAGCTTGTAGCTCTTAACAATCGACTTTGCCTGGGCGCCGGCCAAGACCTCCATGGGCAGCGTCACAAACGTGGGTATGTAGCTGTCGAGGGGACCACCTCGCAGATTCAACATCATAGCCTCAGCGAGCTTGCACCCGCAGATACGGTCGACGCCTCCCACCTTAGGGTCAGCAAAGATATCTCGTACCATACCTCCGATAGCCGCGAGGTAGGGCGGGTGTTCAATCAGCCGTTGTTGGCCATATGACACGAAGTTGTCGAGTGCAGGCAGCATATCTTCTAGGTATAGCTCCGCTCCGTCCTTGAAAGTTTTGTGCATGAGTTCAAAGGCTTGCCACATCGTCTCTGAGATCGCTTTGGATGCGTACGTGCAAGAATCGACAATCTCGAAGATCTCGTTATAGAGGTCGTACAGTTTGTTCTCCAAGGTGATGGTGATGACCGGCATGAGAATGGTTTCGAGCAGGGCCAGAACGTCGGGGGTCGCCTCGAGCGTGAGAATGAGCGTGCCGATCGTTTGCAAGACACCCAGTGCCGCAATGGATTTGTCATCCAGGTAGTCGCTGTGTCCTTCGCCGGTTTCAGCTAATCTGGCCTCCTGACGTTCCAGCATCTCCCTAACGATGCGAAGATACGTATCTCTGAGATTCGTGCTGAGCGCCACGGCGAATGGGGTCAGTTGTTCGGCAAATACTTCAACAAAATCTTCCATCACCTGCGACAGGGCGTCCACATCGACTTCGTTCATTAGTTGCAGCAGTTGGTGCATGATTTGCGGGATGTTCGTCTGCATGGCGATGCGAATGACATCGTGCCTTATAAGGGGCTGCAAGGCCAACGAGGCCTCGACTCTGACAGGCAGTGCCGGATCAGCCATTGATTCCATGATATTCTGATAGATAGTGATCAGGTTATTCTGGTCCTTGAAGTCGAGCTGCTCGAACTTCTCCATGGTATCACAGGCGCGGGCGCGGAGGAAGCCGTGGGGAGACCTGAACTCGGGGAAGACGTGTCGCACGAAGAAATATTCAACCTGATCGGCGATGGGACTCTTCTTGCCCAAGATGACCGACGCAAGTGCACCAATCATGCGGAGAGCGCCGTCCTTCTCTCGCGGATTCTTTTGATCGTCTGGAGCAGCCTCGTATCGTGATACGACGTCGTTGACGTACGAGAGGATGACAAGGGTTTGCTGTTTCCGCGATTTGGTCAACGCAATCAAGAAATTGGTTGCTGCCATATCCGGCGCTGAGACCTCTTCATAAAAGTTCAGCTTCCGGTGCAGGTAGTCGGCTGGGTTGTCCTCGAAGAGCTCTAAATCGTCGTCGGACAGACACATGACGGGGAATATCAGGTGTTTGATGAGGCTGTCCATGTGCGGCTTGAGCTTGTCCCACATGACTTTTGGCTTTACACACTCTTCCAGGAAGATCAACGTGTACGACAGCGAGGGCTTGCTCAGCCAGTAGTCTCCCCTCACCCATTTCTCAATCTCGCCCAGGTAGCCGTTGAGGATTTCTGGGGCGAAATTTGTGATGAAATTCTTGGCGAAATCGCCGTACTCCTTCTCCTGCTGCGAAGAGAGCATCGTGGGGTTCCCGTACCTCACGAAAAGCCTGTTCAAATTGGCATATGACCATTTGCGAGCCTTCCACCAATGGTTGCGTTCCCGGTCATCAGCATCGTCCACCATGGCGCTTTCGGGAGGCTTCTTGGAAATGACGGTCAGAAAGAGGGTACACCAATCGACCGTGGCTTGATGCGACTGAAGCGGCACGGGCAGGCCGTAATAAACGGCATGTTTGTAGCACTTGACGCATATTCTCAGCATTTCCCCCGCTTCCAGGCTCGACTCATTGACCAGCCGATTCGCAATGCCCAACAGTGTCGGGAAGGCGACATTGACGACGTTGTCCAGATTTTGCCTCTCCTCACCCGCGCGGAAGCGATATGTGCGGCAAATGGCCAGTAAACACTGTAAGCCTGCGTAGACTTGGTTGGCATCTTGGGTGTTCATCAACTGAAGGGTCACGTCCATCAGCTCCGGCCATTTTGCGGGAAAGTCGTACTGCAGGACGGTCTGGAGGATCGGGATGAGCTGGGCTCGTATCAGCGGCGGCGACGAGGATAGAAGAGGAAGCAGACGGTCTCGGAAGGGTTTTCGCTCGGGTTCAGAGATGGGCTGGTGGGGAGTATGTTCTGCGGCCCATCCCCGCGATATTCGATTCTTGAGATAGACGGCGGTGGACAGGCGCACAGCCGGCTCCTGTTCGGATTGCAGGATGTCGAGCAGGGCTCCGATAAAGCCAGCATGCTGCTCGGCCTGCTTCAGAGCCGTTTCCGCCTGGGTGCGGACGGTCGCGTCGGCTGACAGAGTCGACTGGATGGTGCTTCGTAAATCCATGTTGCCTCGAAAGAATGCCGCCCTCGCCAGGGCCGATAACTAGCTACAACAAAACAGCGTGGACGCTCACAGATGGCTCATGGCAATGTGGATAATGGCAGGGATACCAGGATCTTATCCTGGGCAGCTGCAGGTGCAGGTGTCAGTGTCAAGTGGTTACCGGTAGGCGAAGGATCGAAACAACACGCCGCCCAAACATGCGGTGCCATGGTACTTTCGACAACCGTGGGGGCTACTGGGCTTGGCGGCCACCCTATTCGGCTGATGCGCCCACCGCTATTTACATGTCTATGGTGTATCAATTCCCGTCCGCACACTTCAGCATGGCCAGATGCACAGCATAGCCCGACCCTGGACGCAACTCAGCTGAGATGTGCGCGTCCGGCACCCGCCATACATTGAATTCCTTCATCAACGAGTCCAAGAACAGCTCGAACACTGTGTCCACCCGGAGCTGCTGAGCAATCAGGACAACTGTGGGTTTGATCCGCGAAGATCCCAGTCGGCAAGCATCGGCGCAAGTTTGCACCAGCGCACCGACCAGATACTCATTGTAAACGCAGTCACAGAGCAGTATAAGGTCGATTGGCGATCCGGCAGGTAGAACTGTCTCCAGGTTTTGAGCATAGTCACACTCCCAATCTAGGGGCAACATCCTGAGAACATGATCTGCCGCCGTCCCTTTCTGACCGCTTCTCCTCTTCGTAGCCTTCTTGTTGTTTTCCAAAGCGGCCGCATTAGCGATAATGTTCTCCTTCACGTGCTTCAGAATATAATCGAGGTCTGTGAGGATATAGCATTGCACAAATCGTGCAAGGACCAAACCGATCAGCCCGGCGACACCGCAACCGAGTTCAACAACTATCGCATTTTGGTGCAGAACTTCAGCTAGTAACGGAGGGGCAGAAGCCAGCCAAGCAGCGACAAGAGGAGTAATCTTCCACAAGACAGCTCCTGTGGTGCCCTCCTCTCTGCGAGAGTTAAGGAGGCCAGTAGACTGTATGATTGTGTAGTCGCACCCAGCAACCTCGATCTCCAAAACGTCAGTTTTGGAATCAAGGAAGCCTAGATTGTTGCTCGGGATCTTTTGGCTGAAGCAATGGAAGGTTTCTAGGCCTCAATGTCAGCAGATAGGATCCGCCGGGCTGATTTAATGCCGAAGGGACTCGGGTACCTTCGCTGGCATCCTCAATAGGGAACTCCAAGACGGCTTCAAGCGGCTGTGATGACATCGCTGTTGCTTATGGTCCTTGACGGTAAGAGACAGGGACCGATAGAGGAGGCCGTGCGTGCGGAAAAGAGCAGGCCTGACATAAGCATAATGGGCCCGGCTGGTGCCGGCAATCCACAAGTCAAAGCGGTGAGATTGACCCTGACAGCAAGAACCAGCGCCCATTCTAGGAGCGATCCGACTCACACCCCATGTTGTGATTATGGCTGCCGGGTCACACAAATCTCAAGCCAGCAGGATGTTCGGGTCTTCGAGAACAGCAGCAGTAAGCATGGCGTCGAGAGAAAAGTGAAATACTCGTAACAGCAGGTAGACTTAGCAGGATATCCGGCTCACACACCTGAAGCTACAGTGATGGTTGGCAGAGGCCCGTGAAAGAAGATTGAGAGCGTAGTACGGAGTAAAGACGCGAGGAACTGCCCGTCGTAAGGTTGCCGGCCCGAGCATTGATCCGGAGCATCCAAAACAAGCCAATGCGAGTGAAGCGAAGATGAAAATGCGCACTGCCACATGCCCAGTCCTGCGGGCAGCAAGAGCTCTCCAACCAGGACGACGTTCGCATCGCAACCTCGATTCCGCCACGTCTGTTTCAGCCCAAGAGCAGGCCATCACTCACCCATCACTGGCCCGGTGACCTGTGCGCGGCCGCCTAGATAGCCCAGCTCGCCCAGCTCTTGGTTCTGTCGCCTGGGGTGACGTAACGGAGTTAGCTCATCCATCTCTGGCTGCTCAACCCCAGATTATTCGTCTATCCGCTGACCGGCCACTGATTTACTGAGTGACTGCTGCAGCTGCAGGTTCAGTCAAGCCGGCTAGAGGCTGGAGGCTGGGACTCTGACACATTTGACACGACTCCAAACGACGAATCTCAACACTCAAGACCTCGTACCGCCACAAACACTGGTCCCTTTCGTCGCAACACAGGCACCCTCCCTCTCATTTCATCCTTTTTAATTATTCACCCATCTCATCTTTCTTTCAACATCTCTGTTGCTCCCCTCTGAACAACTCAGCCGTACCCGCACGTACGCCACTGATTGCCAGTGTGCACGCCCCCAGCAGTCTCCAACTTTCAGAGACTGTGATCGAATCGTGTAACCTCTCGAGCTCATTTCTCGTAGCCCACGATGGCCACACTCGAACATGATAACCGCCCTCGGGTGGACGGTTATGTGCAGCCTCAGATGTCGAAAAAACCGCCGTTCTCGGTAGACGCTTCCGGCTACGAGAAGAAAGAGGGTGAAACGATCCCTCGGCGGAATCCTATGGCAAAGGACAAGCTCATCGTCCAGCCTTCGGATGATGTCAAAACCATCTTTGACAACCTCAAACGAGCAGCCTCCAAGTTTGGAAATGCAAAGGCCATTGGCACGAGGAAGATCATCAAGACGCACACAGAAGTCAAGAAGGTCAAGAAGATAGTTGATGGTCAAGAACAAGAGGTCGACAAGAAATGGACATACTTTGAGCTCAGTGGCTACGAGTATATGAGCTTCATCGAATATGAAAAGCTGGCGCTCGACTGTGGTTCGGCTCTGGCGCATCTCGGGATCTCGAAAGAGAACAAAATGCATCTATATGGAGCGACCAGGTGAGCATTATGTCTCTTCTCCACGCCCGGCTTGTTCTAACCAATCTAGTGCCCACTGGCTTGGAATGTCGCACGCTGCTGCCTCGCAGTCGATTCCCATCGTGACCGCGTACGACTCGCTGGGGGAAGAAGGACTGAGACATTCTTTGGCGCAGACCGGCTCCGTCGCCATCTTCCTCGACCCTAATCTCATCCCCACCTTGATCAGTGTATTGAAGGATGCGGAGAACCTGAAGACTATCATCTACAACACAGAACCCGAAGTGAAGCAGGCTGATCTCGACAAGCTGAAGTCGACCAACCCCGATCTAAGAGTATTGAGCTTTGATGAGCTGAGAAAGCTAGGCGCGGACAATCCGGCGGATCCTGTGCCTCCGTCCCCTGAGGATTTGGCTTGCATCATGTACACGTCTGGTTCTACAGGTCCGCCAAAGGGTGTCACAATCAAACACAAGGCTGTTGTTGCTGCGATGGCTGGTGTACAGAGTATTGTTGCGCCATATATCTCACCAGCCGATGCACTGCTCACCTACCTACCTCAATCGCACATTTTTGAGTACATGTTCGAAAATGTGTGCTTGTTTTGGGGCGGCACCATGGGCTACGGCAACCCGAAGACTCTCTCTGACACCTCTGTTCGGAACTGCAAGGGAGATATTCGTGAATTTCGACCCACAATTCTGATTGGTGTGCCTGCTGTATGGGAGAGTGTGAAGAAGGGCATCTTAGCAAAGGTCAATGCTGGCTCATTCGTGGTCCGGAACATGTTCTGGGGTGCAATGTCCCTGAAGCAAATGCTTCTCTCCTCACGCATGCCCGGCGCTGGCATTTTGGACGCGGTTGTCTTCAAGAAACTGAAGGATGCTACCGGCGGACGCCTCCGTATCGCTTTCAACGGCGGTGGCCCGATTTCGGAAGAAACCATCAAGTTCATCAGCTACGCTGTGACGCCCATGATTTCTGGATATGGTCTCACCGAAACGTCCGCCATGGGTTGTATCCAAGATCCTCTGGCGTGGGATCCGCACGCTTTGGGCGATATCCCAGGATGTATCGAAATCAAGCTGGTTGACTTCCCCGATGCAGGGTACTTCTCGACGAACAAGCCTCCTCAGGGCGAAATTTGGATCCGTGGACCGGCGGTGACCGAGGGCTACTGGGACAACGAGCAGGAGACCAAAGAGGCATTCACCGACGACCATTGGTTCAAGACCGGCGATATCGGGGAGTTCAATGCTAACGGCCACCTGCGCATCATTGATCGGAAGAAGAACTTGGTCAAGACGCTCAACGGTGAATACATTGCCCTCGAGAAACTCGAGTCCTCCTACCGAACGGCGCCCGTTGTGGGGAACATTTGCGTCTTTGCCGCTCAGGACAAGGCTAAGCCGATTGCGATCATCGTGCCGGTCGAGGCGGCTCTTCAAAAAATCGCAACTGCCAACGGCATCAAAGGAGAGTCACTGGAGGAGATGGTGCATGATGAGAAGCTCAATGGCGTCGTGCTGAAAGAAGTACAGAAGGCAGGCCGTGAATCAGGTCTTGCAGGCATCGAAATCATTGACGGTATTGTCATGTCTGATGAGGAATGGACCCCTCAAAACGTAAGTGGAACAACTCCGAGAAGAGGAGCATGTTGACTGACCTGTACAGGGTTTCATCTCGCCCGCCCAAAAGGTCCAGAGAAAGAAGATTCAGCAACGATACGAGAAAGAGATCAAGAAGGCCTACGGTGGCTAAGTGTACAATTATTACGAAGAGGCGCCTCTTGTCGAATTGCGTCGACGAGATGCTCTCCCTCAAACCCAGATGATACCTCCGCAGATTGACGAGCAGGAAGTGTGTCAGTGTTTGCTTTTGCTGATAATATCCTGCTAAATGTAGTATTGGCCAGCGTCCTGATCAGCTCTATTTACTGGTTCATAACTGCACGACAGCCATCAGGGGGATTTCAATATATGAGATGCAATATCGCGACGGAGAGCCCGATATTAGCTCGTTCCCAGCATCAGCCAGTCATTTCTACCCCGTCAAAGCCGGAAAAGAATTCAGTATGAACTAAGAGCCCCGTCACTCAAGCAATTGCTCTCCCTCATCCTCTAAGAACGTTCCATGAATCTCTTGCAGGTTCAGTGGCGTACATCTTACAACTGGTTGATCTCCAACGGCAGCTTCATATTGTGCTTCTAGGTGTAACGCGTTGCAACACACCGAGATTGTTGATGTAGCCCTCCGGGAGTACATGGGCAAGTGTCTCCTTAGACCTCTAAACATTCACCATGGTCCTCTGAAATGCGCCACAAAAATGCCAAGCTACGGTGATATCACGTGGTGTACCACGTGCCCATAGATAAATCGTATCGCCCTTATCTTTATCTTCATCTTCATCTTCATCTTCTTTCAACTCAACAGATTTCCTCCCTCAAGGTGCAAGGAGCTCCAATATCAACGCTTGTGTCTCTTCAGGATACTGGTGATCTTGACCCCATCTATGAGCCTGCATGTACGCGTTAGCAATGCACTGAATGCTCAGGCATCTCGTGTCTACGAGGTAGGAGAGAAGCAAAGCTACATCGCAAGCCCGAGAGGCAGCTCACAAGCCCCAACGTGTGCAGCCAGCCAGATAAAGAAACAGGCGAGGGCTATACTCACCATCCAGCATTGGCAACCGCATCGCTTGGGCAATGGCCGTCGGTTGGACATTCGACGGGGCAGCAGATGCCGGCATCTTTCGAACATTGGTTGCAGGTCACGCTGCCTTCGTTGTTCTCCTCAATCGGGACGGGAGTCAGCTCATCTGAGCTGCACCGGCGGTCAATCTCAGATCTCGGGCCCGTCAGCTTCAAGGATGGGACGTACCCATCTCTCTTCTCAATCGTGAGCGCGTTGACATTGTGGGCAAGGACGCTGACAGCGACCAGGAGAACAGTAGCCACTTTCATGATTGCAGATGGCTGGGATGATGGCCAGGCGTGTCGATCCAAGGTAATGCAGTACTCGTCAGGATTCATTTTCATGTTGAGCGTTGGCGCAGCAAGGTTGGTTATTTCTAGCTGGCGGAATTTGTGTCTCAACCCACATTCCTGCCAAGTACATTCCGCAAGGGATGAACGTGTGGCTCCCTTACGCGTCACAGTCCAGCCTCTGCTCGACTCGCGTCCAGTATTCTCTTCTTTCCGACCTGTATTGGTGTGCTTGAGGCTGCATATATTCGTCCCGAGACATACTGGAAAGTCTCAACGCGTCTACGAAGAAGCTCGATCGCAATAATGCATTTCCCTTGTTCAGCATTGTTACTGACAATTCTACAACTTTTCATTCTCATCAGATCATCCGCTGCCCAGTCGACTTACTGGCTCGCGAACAAGCCGGCTCGGGGCAAAATCGCCTTTCAAGATCCAACCTACCCGGTGTTTCGAAACGTCAAGGACTATGGCGCCGTTGGTGAGTAGTCTCCTAGCTTGTCCCGATGCCGCGCGCCTGCTGATTGAGGATTCTGTAGGAGATGGCAGCCGTGACGACAGCGACGCCATCAACCGGGCCATTTCGGCTCCAGGATCGCTGAGCAACATCGAGAAGCGACTCGATGGCCGCTGTGGCGGTGGCAATTCAACTTTCGGGTCGTTCTGCCAGTCGTCAACCATCACGCCGGCGCTCGTGTACTTCCCGCCGGGCATCTACAACGTGTCGAAACCCTTGATCATGTACTATGCCACGCAGATGGTCGGTGATGCAGTCACGCCGCCTACCATCCGAGTTGCGTCGAATTTCACGAACCTCATCGGTCTCTCTGTCTTCGACGCCGACATTTACATTCCCAGCGGAAGCGGCGCGGAGTGGTATGCCAACCAGAACAACTTCTTCCGGCAGATGCGCAACTTCATCATCGACATGACAAGCGCGCCCTTGACGGCGGCCGGGATCCATTGGCAAGTTGCCCAGGCGACGAGTCTGCAGAACATTGTGATCAACATGGTGCCCAAGGACGTGGTAAACAACGCGCAACAAGGCATCTACATGGAGAACGGCTCCGGCGGCTTCTTTTCGGATATGACCATCACCGGCGGTGCTATCGGGGCCTATCTCGGAAACCAGCAGTTCACCACGCGCAAGATCCGCTTCGACGGCTGCAAGACTGCGATCAAGATGAACTTTGACTGGGTGTGGCTGTTCACGCAGATCAGCATCACGAATTCCGATATCGGCATCGACATGACGAGCGGCGGCTTCTCCAACCTGGCCGTTGGGTCGCTCGTGCTGATCGACAGCACGATCTCAGCCACGCAGGGCATCACCACACCGTATGTGCCAGGCTACAGCTCGCCCCAGGCGGCCGGGACCATGGTGCTGGAAAAGGTCGACTTCACCGGCAGTGAAATCGCCATTTCCGCTGCAGGTGGCACCCAAGCACGGACGATCCTCGCGGGCCAACAGTTTGTCGAGCTCTGGGCTCAGGGAAATGCCTGGACCACCGCCGGTGCGGCGCTGAATGGACAGTATTTCAACGGCACCACCTGCACGTACCAGAATGCCAGCCAGACCGCGTACACGGCCCAGGAAACCACGATCCAAAGAGCGCTGGCACCCATCCCGCGGCCGTCGGTGCTGACGGACAGCAACGGACAGTACATCTACCGAGTCAAGCCGCAGTATGAAAACCTCGATTGGAACACCAACTTTCTGAGTGCAAAGGCAAATGGTCTGGTTGGCGATGGGACAGCAGGTGAGCACTTCACTCCCCCTGCTGTTTGTGAAAGAGCCTTACTGACATGTCCTTGCAGATGACACGGTCGCCATGCAAGCCCTCTTCGACCTCGCCGCCCTGACAGGCAAGGTCGTCTACTTCGACAAAGGCGCCTACATTGTCACCTCGACCATCAACGTCCCCAAGGATCTGAAAATCACGGGCGAACTGCTCTCCATCATCATGGCCACGGGACCGTACTTTGGAGACGAGTTCAATCCCAAGCCCGTGTGGAAGATCGGCAACCCGGGCGAGTCAGGCACTGTCGAAATATCCGATGTCATCTTCGAGACAAGGGGCCCTTGCCCGGGCGCCATCATCATCGAGTGGAACATCAAAGCTGCCGGCCCAGCGCTGGCGGGCATGTGGGACGCCCACTGGCGCATTGGGGGCACGGCAGGCACGAACCTCCAGCAGGACAAGTGTCTCAAGACGCCGGCCACGCCCATTGCCGGGAATAACCCTGTGCTGACGCAGTGTCTGGGTGCGTTTCTGTTGCTGCACGTCACGCCCCAGGCCGACGGGTACTTTGAAAACACTTGGGGCTGGGTGGCGGACCACGAGCTAGACCTGGACGATCGCCAGCAGATCTACATCTTCAACAAAGGGTGGGTAAGAATGAGGCTGCAGTATTGATTTGTTCTCCCCTACCGTTTCCCACCGCCCCCTATGCAAGGCGTCGGAGATCCGTCGTCGCAATTGCTTACTTTTTCCCACAGCGGCTTCCTGATCGAATCAGCCGAAGGCCCCGTCTGGCTGTACGGTACGGCCGCCGAACACTCGGTCATGTACGACTACCAATTCGTCAATGCCAAAAACGTCTTCATGGGCCACATCCAACACGAGACGGCGTATTTCCAGGGAAACCCGAACGCGCTGGTGCCCTTCACGCCGCAAGCCAGCTGGCACGACCCGGACTTTAGTGACTGCACCAAGGCAAACTGCGCGCGCACGTGGGCCGTCCGATTCGTCAATTCCAGCAGCATCTTCACGTACGGCGGCGGGTTGTACAACTTCTTTGAGAATTGGAACACGCAGGCTTGCTTGGGCACGGAGAGCTGTCAGGAACGAATGGTGGATTTCCGGAACAGCACGGATATATATCTATGGGCGCTGAGCACCAAGGGGAGTCAATACATGGTGAGCTACGAAGGGACAAGTGTGGTGCCTTATAGTGTGAACCGGGCCAACTTTTGTGAGACGGTTGCGTTGTTTGAGTTGGCAAGTGAGCAGTGAGAGGAGAGGCCAGAGTGACCGTAATCCGGTGAGAGGAGGTCATCGAGGCTAGTGAGGGACAAGAGTGGGTGGCACGGAAGCTGGGATTCGTGTGAAATCAGAAAAGAAGGCTCTGAGCTCTTCGTTGAGAGAGGCTGGCGGTGATGGTCGATGAGGCGCGCCTGACAGAGTTAGCCTTACGAATTGAGAATGATCATCCAACCTCCTTCAGCACAATGTGATCGTGAGTCCCTTTGCCCTGCTTTCCGGACAGCCGTATCCTCATGTGCCGAGACACAAAGAACGGAAGTGCTTCGAGGCTCAGGCGATCGTTCGGAAACGTGATGGCTTTTCCCAGCCAGCAAGTTTTGATGTCAAATGCGAGCCGCAGGACGAGGCGGAGAAATATCCGTTCTCAGTAGCTGGAACAGAGTGGGCGGAGAAATACAGCGGTGGCAGTTGGAAAAGTATTCGTGTTCGAGGCAGGAGTGGCAGCTGTGTTGCAGGCTGCCTGCAGAGACGGAAGTCCAGCCACAGCCATGTCTTAGGCGCTCACGATGTTGTTCTTCTCGAAAAGGAAATCTCGATGCAATGTCATTGCAGCTCATTGTAGCCGAAGGTGGCAAAAAGACAAATGACCCGCATAGCACATCCGTGCTTGCCAGAGGCGGGACAGCTCTCACGAATGCCAGAGGGGGGGAGGATTGCTGTTGTAGCTGTACGCAGTAAGCGGTGAAATGTCAGACATGAGCCGCAGCGGCTCAACATGGACTCACGAACCGGCAAGCTCCACGTCGGCATTGTGCTCCGTACTCTTTCCAGCATTGGTTTCTGACGTTTTCTGACGAGAGCCTCTTCTCGTACAGTGTCGTGCCGTGTCGCTGGGTCGAGTGCTCTAAGTCGTACCTGGACAACACCTTCCAACTATTGTTGGCAGATGGAAGCGAAAGTCAGCGACGGGTTGGCTGGTTGTCTGCGGCCAGCCAATCACACATGCAGCGTGTTGTGCGGTGGTGGTGTGTGATGGTGCAAGACAATGACGTCCGACTGGACCCCGCGCAGCAGAGCGTCATTGGTTCGGTGGACAGGCACAGGAACGTGTCTCGATATTTGCCATCACACTCGTCCAACTGCAACCAGCAGCTGAGCTTCGGCATCCGCGTATCCGGCCCCCTCCAGCAGCGACGATGCAGTCGCCTGGCCTCCTCCTCTTCTCACGGCTGAGCCGGGTGAGGCAATGGGTCATCAAGGCTGGCTGACGAGATCGGGAACGGCAGGAATAGGAAAAGAGGGGCGCCCCCGGTCAGTTGGAGGGCTGGGTGGCTCTGTCGGCCGTGTATTCCGTACTCGGTACCTGATGCCAGCCGTGACTTGCACAGTGTGGAGGATCTGCACTACCTCGCCGAAGGAGACATTTCTCTGACAAACACAAACCGTGCACCAAAAATGCCATGCGAGAAGAGGCGAGGGAACGCTACTGCCTGTGTGTGCTCGCGGAAATGGTTGCAGAGGTTTCTCGTGCGCAGTTTACAGTTTCTTGGAAAACTCGAAAATAGTCCTGACCCTTCCCTAATCGGGCATTAGCTCGCATCTTAGCTCTGCCTTGGCGTAATGCTTAGCCTCGCGCTATTCCCTCCCCGCAAAGTACGGCGGCCGACGGTTATTCGTCAAAGCCGTTAGCGTTGCCAGCCATCTTGCTTCCAAGAGCACAACGGGCGTCGTGGTTGGTCTGCTGCCTCGTGTTGGGCATGCGGCTTCTCACTCGCCATGTTTCGGCTGTCGCAGTCAGATCCGCCACAAGCGTGGGCCCCAGCCTTCCCCGGGCACCCAAACGGTAACGGGTGTCAGTCACGCTACTGCCCATGGTTCACTATTGTTGCCATGGCTGGGTGCATGCAGGTGGTCAGCTAACGAACAATGACCAGGTCTGGGCCAGGCACGGGCAGCAGAAGTGGATTTGGGCAGGCAAAGGATTGACACTGTCTTGTGCAGACCGACGCCAAGCGGGGCCCCAATTGTTCCTATGCCATGCACTTCAGCCTGTCCTGATTTGGTGCTCGGTAGACCAGCCTCTGGCTTCGCAGCTTCGCCTAGCCATCCCCGCTCAGCAACGCAGCGACAGCCGGCTGAGAAACGACAGGAAAACTTGGTTACAGCAGGAACACTGCTCCCAGCCTGCCCTCCACCATCCACCACCGCCCCGTTGCGGAAGCCGAGTAAGACATTTGTGGAAGGCAGCCCACGAGTGGCCGAGAGGCTGGATACTCGGTAGGTGTGTTGTCACCTCTCACATCGAGGTATAAAGTGGTGAGTAAACTCCTCTCGATTGTGTATCTCTCTCCTCCATCAGACAGCCTCGCAACAGTCCTACCACAAGAACAACCAAACACATCTCTCAAAAGCCTTTCGCTTCAAACACAAAAGCCCTTCGTTCCATTCTCTCGCTCCACCAAAAAAAGCCCCTTCGTTTTTATACACAACCCAAACCACCATCAACATGAAGTACTTCGCTGCCGCTACCGCTCTCATTGCTGGCGCCTCCGCCGCTGCCGTCAAGCGAGGTGATGGTGGCAACACCTGGGGAGACTGGGGCGCCTCGACAGTCTACTCGACCGTCTACTCAACCATCTACTCGACCGCGACCGTGCCCACCACCATCTACTCTACTGCCACCGTCCCCACGACTATCTACTCAACTGCTACCGTCCCCACCACCATCTACAAGACTGAGACCGTTCCCACGACTGTCTACAAGACGGCGACTGTCCCGACGACCATCTACTCTACTGCCACCGTCCCCACCACCATCTACTCGAGCGTCACCGTCCCCACGACTGTCTACAAGACCGCGACTGTGCCCACCACCGTGACTGTCCCTACCACCATCTACTCGACCGCCACCGTCCCCACCACCATCTACAAGACTGAGACCGTTCCCACGACTGTCACTGTTCCCACCACCGTGACTGTTCCCACAACTGTGAGTTAACTCCCACTCCCCCCAAGACAACCAGACTAATAACCGATTCCAGATCTACTCCACCGCCACCGTCACCGCCACCGCCTCACAATGGGGTGACTGGCAAGTCACCACCGCCTACGTCACCGTTCCCCAGACTGTGACCGTGACTGCCGCCGCCACCTGGGGTGACTGGAACTAAGCTGCTTGCCCTTAGGTAGGGAAGCAGGGGAATGAATGGGCATTACCGACGACGGACGACGACATGGACACGGGTCAACGAGTTTCACTTCCTATCTTTGGGCCAACGCAACGGATCAACGACAACGACCCCCAATGATCATCACGACGACAATGCCATCTTGTCATGGATTTTAACGTACCACAGCAATGGAGTCATCTTGGGTATTACTTATGGGAGGGAACAAAAAAGCAGAAAGGGATCTAATTCGCATTCCCCTTTTTGAACGACGACGATACTCACGCGAGTACGATCATGGTAATCACTACTACTAGTCACATACACATACATAGTTGTTGCAACGATATCTGCCGCATATCGATGCAAATCAATCCTCGAACATTCAGGAAACCTCGCTTCTTCCAGATTCGTCTCCGCATGCCTGCTTTTCAATCACCTCACAGATTCATCTCTACCTCATGGCTGCTTCCACGCCTCGAGCACGCATGGGACAGAAAGACAGCACAGATCACAGATCACAGATCCGCGCTCGCTTCAGTATCCTTCGCCTGTAGGCGTCGCGCTCTGCCGGGTAGGGCGATCGAAATCCCTCGCATATTGGCGTCGTGCTCTCCAGGGCACTCGTACAGGTAAGGTAATCGTAACCTTTAGCTCCACCTTTCAACCTTTGCGCCTTCCGCTGCCAGTTGTGACATGAGCTGAGCGTTTAACGTTCAGCTTTGGCTTTCACAGTTGACGTGAGAAGTTACGGGCAGTGGAGTCTTGGGGCCCGGTGGAGTCGGCATGTGGAGTCAGTTGGTGGCGCCCGGATTGGCGGAGATGGTGGAGCTGTCACGGCTGTTGCGAGTAGAGTTGCCTGGGCAGCTTGCTCGCTTACTGGTACGAGGTACTTTGTCACTGTGCAGCCTCAGCCCACTCACTAATTACGATCCAACGACACGTAGAAAAGAGAACCCCTCGTCCGAACAGAGCATCGTCCGTCCGTGTGGTAGAGATGGTACGAGGTAGGCGGAACCACGAGCACTCCTACTGTGTAACTCGTACCGAGCCCGAGACGCCGAGACCATGCCATGCAGCCCGTGCAGCCATGGCAACCGTGGCATTGATGATGGAGGCGGCTTGATGGATACTCTTTCCGAACAGCACCGAAACTTTCCACTCTTCCCCGCACCGCACAGAGACGAATCTCGAAGCTGAAAACTAGCACTCGTACGTAGGAACGTCGGAGCACAAAGCCGAGAAGGAGGAATTCACTCTCGTACGTACGAGGTACCGTCTACTCGTACCCACACGCAGCCGGAGCTCATGCCTTCAGAAAGATGCCATAGCAGGCTCGAAAGTAACGATGCGAGGGACTCCGCATCAAGTGATCCGCTTGTTCCGGAAGGGACATTAATGAGATGGAATAGCTCGCATGATGTGATGTGATGTGATGTGATGTGATGTGATGTGATGTGATGTACGAAGTACCCAGTACGAGAGAAGCAAGTAAGCGAGCATCCACAAGAATGTGTAAACACTGGGGACTCCAGACTGGGAACTTTTTCCTTTTCCCGAGCCGTGAGTCTCGACACCGGGAGAAGGAAGCTGGAAGGTCGGAGGTCGAAGCTCGCAGTGACTTCCTATTGTGTCCGAATACTGGGTGTTGCGAAAGTACTCGGTACTTCAGCAGTACTACACAGTACGTGCATCTGACCTACCATCGCGTGCATTCCATGTATATACCATGTATATCAGCACCGCTAGAAGTATGTAGCGTGTACGGAGTACACACTACCGTGTACCTCGCCCTTCCGCCTATTTAACACAATACTAGGCTTAAGTCGTCTACATCTCGTAGCTACGACAAGTCACCACAACCGCGACGAATCGCAGCCAGTACGCGATGCACAATATAGGTAGGTAGCTAGCATGTAGCACACAGCACCTTAGGAAGAGCCGCATCCACCCAGCGTCGCATCGCATGGGACCCGGCAGTTACGGCAATATACTGTAATTTTGTACAAGAATTCGTACCCACTTCATGAAGAAGAAAGCAGGGCACGACACCCAGGCACCTGCCAGACGACGATCTTCACGCGGTACACAGTACTGTAGCATCGTGAACACCAGCTCGGAGCTTTTGCTTCTCACTTACATACCCCGCAACCAACTTTTGAGTCTTCCATTCGTTCTGCCCCGGCGCCGACATGGCAGCAAACCTCAGGGCCAGTAACGCAGTAGCGAGAGGAGCACGGCAGGAGACGCCGCAAGAGCAGCACGACCGGATGGGATTATTCAATACGAGGCCTCACAGGGTACTGAGTGGTCGACGAAAGTCACACCGCAGGACGAAAAATTCTCCTTGTTGCTTGCTTGCTTGACATGTCACACAATGTTTGTGCATCGAGTCCGCACCCGCATCCGCATTCGCATCCCCATCCGCATATCCGCCATCCGTTCGTCATCCGGCATGCAGTGACATACTGCTGGGTGACTGCCACCTGGGTCCGAGTTACTTGTGGTACATACACAGCCTTCAGCTCCGCAAGGCGTACAAACCCAAACCCAAGTGTCCACGTCCACGGCCACGTACCATAGAAGCACGACACCGAGCACCACACAGTCGTGATAGTTCTCCACAAGGCGCACACACACGTCAATCCAGACCCAAACCCAGGTGTCCACGCACCATGGCAGCACGGCACCGAGCACCAAGGCATGACCCTCCTGCTGTACCTCGTGCCTCGCAACAGTGTGATCTACGAGGCACCCACGAGGTAATTACTGCGCGTGATTCGGCCAACGACTGAGACACGTCGGTGGCGAAAACCATACATGCACGCTGGTGGACGCTCACTTCCTTTGCGGGTAATGTGCACTGTATGTGCTCAGGTCCGGTATAAATAAATAGTTTAAGACAACAGAATATTCTAGCCAAGTCATCCAGGTCGGCAAGCGAGGGGAGGACGCGGGGGGCCTCGTATTAATTGCGAAGAGCCCTGTTGCCCTACACAGTATGTCCGAGTACAGTACTGTGTACTCGCACTACATGCAGACAGGGCCTCGTGCAGGCTCGTGTCCAGGCTTTTTTTTTCTCCAGATCGACGCCGATGCCCTGTCAGTGCTAAGACTTGACCATTCAGCTCCGCCCTTGCGGTCAGGGCCTGACAACTGGGCAAGGATACCTTAACACAGGACATGGTCCTACCACCCGGATGAGCTCGATGAGTTACTACTGTGCAGTTAGGTGGCAGTAAGGCCCAAAATTCCAGACTAGGGACTTCAACCTTCAACCTTCAACCTTCAACCGGATTTGTTTGGCATGCATGTCTCTCAGAGGCTCATCCACAGAGGGGCGATGGCGTGACACTACTAGACACTTCTACCTAGTTATATATTGTCTACCTCGTACTTGGTATGATCGCATGGGCACATTTCTACTGTACCCTCTCCGACAAGGCGAGGTTAGTTTCATGAAGCTGAGTGCAGAGTAGCTGTGCGGTGAGCTGTGCTGTGAGCTGTGTAAGAGTACACAGTACTCGTACTGACACTAGCACTAATCACATTCACACATACTGGACGCCAAACGCTGACACTCAAGTACGAGGTAAACACCTGAACCCGCATGCTGTGCATGCGTGCATGTGCCTGGAAACCCATCCAGTAACACTCTACTCTACTCCCATGACGTGCCCCGCTCGATGGCCAGGATGGTCTCCAGATGCCGCATCTCCACTCTGACAGGTCCACGTTTCCCGTCCTTGGCCGGCACTGGTGCCTGGTTGTCCTGACTGCGTGCCAACATCTGTGAAGTTTTCAATATGTTCTTGATTTGTCGGCCATTGAGGTTGACTTTGGCAAGCCGGTCCAAATCCTTGCTACCTATCGGATGGTCATGTCCGAGGAAGGTCTGCCAGATGTGCCGCCGGGACTCGGTCGACAGGCTCGGGTAATTGACCGTGACATGAATACGAGAGTGGAAGGCTTCGTCGATGTTCTTGACTCGATTCGTCGTCAGGAAGAGGACGCCTTCGTAGTACTCTGCGGAAACATTGTCAGCTGCATGTTTTGAACGTGAGACGTGAAATGGATGAGGAGCTGAGGAGCTGTTGTGGGACGTTGTGCATGTCAGACCAGTAACCGTCTCTCACGGTCAGAGGGTCGGTCCATCTTACCCAGAACTCGCAGGAAGATCGAAACCATCTTGTTGCGCTCGAGATCGTTCGACGAGCGCGCCTCCAGGAAGACGTCGGCTTCGTCCAAGAGCAGAACAGCATTCCACTTGCTGACCATGTCTAGAACGAGATTGAGTGACTCTTCAATGCCCGATGGGTCGATTCCAAGATCTCCGGCCGACATGCTGACTTGCTGTTAGCTCCAACCATTCCAAACCCTCCACAGTGGTCACTTTTACAGCTACACTTACACGTAGAGTGGAACACGCATGTCCTCGGCCACAGATTCACTCGTCAGAGTCTTGCCCACACCGGGGGGACCAGCGAGGAGCATGATCATGCCGCGGCCTTTGCCTGCAATGACATCGTCAAAGTCATCCTTGTACTTTACTTGTGACTCGACAAAGGCACGGATCAGCGACTTTTGCTCTTTCGGCAAGACCAACGAAGCAAACGCATTTTCCGCGAACTTGATCTCTTCAACTTGGTCCACATAAAACCACAGCCACTTCTTGGTCTTGATCGCGTACCCGCGCACGTATGAGACAGCAAGGAGGAGTTCTTCGGTGGTAAGAGGACGGCGTTCGGGCTTCGTCCCGTCGTCCTCTGTATCAGGCACGCCAAGGTAGTCGAAGTCGTCGACGAAGAGGTCAATTGCATCCTCGTACTGGTCGTTCTCATTCTCTTCTGCATCGTCGTCGGACACCGCAGCAACCCTGGGTGCTTTCCTCGTCCGACTGATGAGCGGGCTGAAGTAAACCGCATTGTTGGGCAAAAATCGATTGTGTGCTTCACAGTCGATGATGATCCGTGACTCAATGTTGTGCCGGATCATCCCGCAACGGCCATATCCCAGAGCCACTCCCCGGTACGCCTTGTAATGGTAGCCAGCGAAGCTTTCGAAGAGCTTGCCGCGGTGGAGGAGACGTGCCATGAGTTGTTCCTTTTCAGGATGAAATTCCAATGGATATGCATGGAGCGAGGTGATCGGAGTTGTCCCGGTGAACTCGTAGTCCTGAAGGTAGGTCATGTGCTGCCCAAACTTGACACCATCCCAATCGACCGACCAGGTATCGAGCTGGAGGAAGTCGAGCCCTCGTCGTTGGTCGGTGAGGGTCTTCGACGAATTGAGCTTGAAAACGCATTCCTTCCCCCCAGACACGCTGTAGACGAGCGTCTGAGGCTCAAAGATGGTCCACAAATACTCGAATGTGATGACGCCGTTCTTGACCAGGTCGGTCTTCGCGGCGATGGCGTTCTTGAGCTCCTCAAACAAGACATCGTGGAACAGCTGGAGGTGTTCTCGCTGAAATTCCTCTTCGAACTCGTTCTTCTCGAGCATGTCCGCTAGCCGAGTCCACCGATGCACGAAGGGATGAAAAGGCGCTCGAAACACGAGTCGGTCGAGGTTCGTGGTGATGCCGGGGTAATCTTCGAGGACCACTCCGAGCGCCTTCTTCAACCATGGAGACTGGACAATGACGGAGTGAATATCGTACTTTTTGCGACTGTCGTACGATATCTGCTTGCGGACGAGAAACGCATACCGAGCCGTCTTCTCGTTCTCGGCGGCATCGACCGCGTCGACTGGCTCCTCCGTCTCCCACTGATATTTTCCGTCACTGTCTTTCTTCCCATACAGTGCTTTGGCTTCGGTGAGGCTGCCATGGGGAACTTCTGGCTCCTTCGGCTTGTCGTCTTTCAGTGTCTGGTCACCCTTCTCCACCGTGTCGCTGTTGCTCTTCTCAGCCTCGTCAGATTTTTTCGGGGCGTCTTTTTCTCCAGACATCTTGGCGGTAATCAGGGATTGAAGGAAAGTAGCAGGAGATGAACGAGGTGTTGGACTGAGAAAGATGTCCAGCAAACAAGGAGAAGAGGCGGGAAGTTATACAAACTGCAAGGCATTGTGTAGTGGGCGGAGACTCCAGAGGAGCGTCACTTGTTGCCTGAAATGCCAGCGTTATCTCACTTGATCCAATGACTATGTGTCCATCCGGAAGATTCAGTTAGCCCAATGGGTTTTCGAAGCTTCGCCATGTTGGTTCGCAATGCTGCCAAAGACGTTGCTGCCTATGAGGATTCAGGCACAAGGCTGCGCCTCTCGGGGCGCAAATTTGATTGGCTGAACAATGAGTCACCCACTGGGAGGCCACAAAATTTGATATCGAGATCTGGAAAAGCCCCTGGAGATTCTGCATTGTGCGGCCAATGAGACGTAGGCTGACATCAGTCGGCCTCCGTTGACCAATAAACGAAACTGCGCCATCACAAGGCAGACAAAAGGCATCCGGCCACGTCGGTGATGATTCCAGGACAGATGTGGCCGACGTGGGCAAATACCCACGATTGGGACTGTGCCTTGGGTGAAGATGGCCGCCGCATATGACAGTAAAACAATTCTGTTCCGCGTATACTCCGTACAATCTGATCATATGCGGACTTCGCTGTTTGAGCACTCGATCAACGTTCCGTACCCTGCTATGCACCGCCATATAATACATGCCGCCGCAATGCTTGATGTGAAAGATCTTCTAGAAACCCCAAGTCTCCGCGTTCTATGTTCGTATCGAGTGAGTAACAGCTTCCTCTAAGCATGAATCATCTGGGTCCTCACCACCTGCCTCCGGGCTGTTGAATCAGGGGAGGCCCTCTCGAAGCCGGTCCGACACTGTTCGACTGTTGCCGAGCTTTATCAAACTCGCGAACAACTATGTCACAGTTGATTTCATTGCAAAGGCGCTTTCTCCTCGCGATTGGGAGCTTGTCTGCGAAGACCAGCCCACTGGCTCGTTCCACTGCTTCCAGAGGGACCTCAAAGTCTCGCAAGCTTTTCGAGTTTGGGATCTCAGCGTTAGGCAGGACGAAAGCACCAAGGGCCACCGACCCAATTGGGCTATTAGCTGCCTCTTCTGCGAAGATGATCTTATAGAAGTGAGTGGGTACAGCCACGTTGGGAGGATTCCCGATCACTTCGTATGACACTCGCCATTTGCCGTCCCGCTCGTCTTTCTTGGGCAGGTATAGTGGGCCGGTGACCACTCGGACGCTGGGGTATTTCTTGACCAGGCCCCGACAAAAATCCTCGAAATGCGCCCAGTAATCACGATTGAAGCCTTCTCCAACTTGCGGACACATGTTGCTCAACACGAAGGTCGAGTCCATCGCTTCTTGGGACCATTTTGCATCGGCTGCTGGGACTTGGTGTCCTCGATCGTACCCGCTTCGAAAGTAATCCGCAAGCTTCGCTCGGAACATTGGAGGGACCGACAGATCCTCGTAGAAAACGCTATGTCGCCGAGATGCATTGTTCATGAGTAATGACTGAGGTGTGAAGTGCTCCGCCACCCAGTGAGGATTTCGGGTAAACCTGTTAAACGACGAGAGGTGCGAGGGGGTGGCCAATGTGTCAGCAACAGGGCCGGGGAAGCCATATCGCAGTATGCCAGATGGGTCGACGGGCGAGATCAAAGGGGATACAGCAGGCTGCGTTGGTGCAGTCACTGGAACTGGGACCGGTGCAGGGATGGGAGTGGGTGGCGGAGGGAGCGCTGGAGAAGGTGGTGTCGCGGACAGGGCCGGCTCATCGAACGTTGCCGTCGGTCTGAGCGCATCCTTCCGGGACCGAGGAATCAACAGAGCTGTGAGCGATGCGCCTGCAAAAGCAGACGTAGCCGCGATGACTGCAATAGTGGTTTTGGACATGAAGTGGGTGGTGACCGATGCCAGGGAGATGTCAGGAAAATGCCATCCAGGACGCGTCTCTATATCAAAGATCGACGGAAAAAGCGCGACTTGACAAGGCCAATCAGCACATGACCGCTGCGGATGACCATTACCGTGGCACAGTACAGTAAGGCTGAGAGCCTTATCAGCCCTGGTGATGCAGGCATTGGCTCGCCTATCATTCGCAGCAATGGCCTGTGGGGGCAACACGGCCACGCCTAAACCGCAAACGTACCGCCCTTAAGGTCCTCTCAAGAAGTTCTTGGGATGAACGTCATTCCGGCTGCGTGCAACTGCGACCGAGTCTCGACCTGGCCACCATTCATTCCTCTATCGTAACTCTCTCATAGTCTCGTACCTTTACCTCAGCTTGTCACCTAGAACACATTCGAACATTGTATCGACTACGTTTGCAACGAACAGCGGTGTATCTCCTAGACTACACTTCTACATGCAAAGCCGTTCCCGGGCAAGTGAACGCTCGGCACGATGGCCATCGAAAACGATACTCGCGGATGGATCATGACATGTATTAGCGGCGTTGGTGAATAGCTACTACCTTCCTATCGCGGTCTCAGTGCTCACTGACCGCGTGAAAACAGCTTGTGTCATTGGCGCTGCCATCATCTGCATCGACATACCTGTGCGGCAGATTCACCGCTGGCGCAACTTTTCCATATCGGAAAGTGATGCCTTTCTCTCTGCCTCGTTGAGCCTCAGTTTTGGCGTCATGGTGAGTGATCTCCACCTTCGGGCGCAACAGATCTGACGGCGACACAGTTGTTCTCGGCCCTGTATTCGATGCTTCCGCAGTCCAAGAAATACTTCAAGGACGCAGGCTACTCGCCCCGTGCAGCATCCTACCTCCTAATCGGACTGTTTCTAGGGGGCGTTATCGGCATTCAGTTGCTGTCACGCGTTCTACACCATTTTATTCCATCGCATGTCGTAGACTGTGACCACACCCACGACGAAGAGGAGGCCAAGGATCAGGAAGAGATGTCGGAACATGCGCATGACGATGAGCATACCAATGGTCTCTCGGCCTCGAAATGCCCGCCAGACCCCATTCGAGAAGCCGATGAAGACAGTCCGCTGCTGTCTCGGACCACGAGCCTGAGTCCTAGAAAGCCTCCACGAGAGAGCCCTGAGGAAAATGCACCGTCCCAAGACCAGTCGTTTCACACCGCACGTTCTCGGAGAATATCCCTGATGCCTAGAACGCTCACAAGGACGCTCACAAAGTACGTGAGTGGCCAGAAGGATAACTGTGATGAAACTGGTCCGTGCATGGGCTTCACAGATCCCTGCGGCCAGGACTGCTTCAAGGCAGCCCAAAGACGGGGTTCTAGCATCCCGCCCCATGCTCCCTTCTTGCGCTCACCTACATGGCGTAGCGGTGCGACGGCTGGAGGTTTTGAGGAGCAGGACCCTTCATCCAACGGATCCATTGTTGGTCATCATACAACTCACGAGGTCGATGTGAGAGGCTCGAAACCTGCTATGAGTCGATCGAGATCTTCCACGCATCACTTCCATCATCCGGAGCACCAGCACGGCAGCCTGAGCGAGCCTCATCGGCGAACATCTCACCATTCGCATTCACTCTCAGTGCCAGGAGAACACCATCACCACGTCCCCACCAACGCATTCATGTCCATCGGCCTTCAGACATCATTGGCCATCGCCTTACACAAGGCTCCAGAGGGCTTTATCACGTATGCAACAAACCATGCAAATCCCACGCTGGGTTTTGCCGTCTTCATGGCGTTGTTCATCCACAACATCACAGAAGGCTTTGCCATGTCTCTGCCCCTGTACCTGGCGATTGGCTCGAGGGTCAAGGCCATAGCTTGGTCCTCATTCTTGGGCGGCGTTTCACAGCCCCTCGGAGCCGGCATTGCAGCTTTGTGGTTCAAGTTGGCCAACAGGAGCAGTCTGGGAGCTCCTACCGAAGGAGTGTATGGTGGCATGTTCGCCGTGACGTCTGGTGTGATGACCAGTGTTGCCTTATCGCTCTTCGCAGAGAGCCTGCAACTGAGCCACAACAAGGGGACTTGTATCGCCTTTGCATTCTTGGGTATGGCCATCCTGGGCTTTAGCTTTGCATTGACAGCGAAATAGACAGCGACTACTTCGTATGGGAGCACATGCTCGGAAATGAAAACATTTTTACTACAACCTACGACGATCGTCCCTTCTAAGGAGTAGAGACGGAACGCTGACGTCTGGAACTGAGCTCGAAATCGGTTTTCGTGCATGCAGAGAAGCCACGTCTTTCCCACAGGACGGACACCAAGAGAGCACGGTGATCCATACTGATATGATTTATTTAGCTGTCGGCTTCATTGTCGTGGCTGTCATGAGCCTATCACTTATTCTCCAGAAAAGTATACACAAGGATCAGCTTCTAATGCCTCCGACCATCACATGCGATCGGCCCAGTCGCGCGTACTCAGCATCTGCAGAAGTGGCAGTACCTGATGAGCCTCTCAGATGAGGATACTGCACACGTGGTCTCGAGCACACCAACGAGAGTTGCCTACGTGCGTGAGGCGTACCGCTCGATCTACCTTGCACATCCAAAGTGAGTGCTCGTCGTGCTCCTGAGGACGAGGGGTACGCGGCACGACTACTATTTTAAGGCCTAACAAGCCTATGATCCTCGTTAAGCCATCATGGCACCGATCGGATCGGGTGCTTGCATGGCACTACGTAGGGCTCAATGGACGGGGTATTACGTGCGTAACAAGCTTTACCCAAGCATTGCGCGTCCAAAGCTTGTTCATGCACGGACATACACAATACTCCACCTCGTACTTCTCTTCAGCGTCGTAGATAAATGCCGGCCCGGGGACTGTGCCGGGTAAGAATCAAGTGCTTCACGAGCCTGGCTTGGGACACAGTGAGCCCGTGACCTGTGTGATTCCTGCAATACTGTAATCGTCAAGTTAATCCACGACCCTCGACTCTAGAAACAAGAGACCCGCTCTGCAAGCTTATTGCGGCTCCAAGGCGGCACGACAAGGACCCCTGCCAATTTGCGTGACTCGAAGAAGACGGAAACCAAAGCAAGACAGTCAACATGTCCTCCAACACCGACACCGACACCGCCAAGCCCAACAATGCCAACGCCAACGCCAGCCTCCTCTCGAGGATATTCCGGCGTGCCTCGAAACTCCCGGATTCAGATGCAGAGTCAACGACATCCAAGGATCCGCTCGTGCAAAGACAGCCCGTGAAGTCGACGTCACAAGAGGAGCACAACGTGGACAGCAGTCAGCCCATGAAGTCGACCTCACGCGAGGAGCACGACTCGGTCAGCGAACTCATGGCCAAGGCGAACACGATGGGTGAAGACGAGTTCAAGGCGTACTTGAAGGAGCACAAGGAGGAGGTTGAGGCAATGTATCGGAAGCAGGGAGGCGGGATTGCGAGCGGCGACTGGGTCAGTCGGGACTGGGCGACGGGTGAGTCTCTTGTTTTTCTTTCCCTTGCCTACCTGTGGACTAGGTATTTCAGAAATGTGGGCATGAAGACCTCGGAGCGAGCAAACCGAGCTGAGCTGACTGGGCTTGATGTGATCTAGCGTTGGACTGAGTGTCCGATCTCTCCGGGATACTGGGTTGGGGACGCAATGGTTGCCATCGTCCGGGAGTGCGCTGTCATTCTGGGGTAAATCCAAGGGCATTAAAGACCACAGCGCTGTAACGGGTGAGGAAATGTTGGAGTGTAAAGTGTAATATGCGCGCGAAGCAGCGTTATAGTCAACCGTATAGAGGGTAATACGGTGAATCTTTAGCGGCAGTAAAGGTACGAGGCATGCCGGCCGCAGATTTTAAAGCGGCACATGTGCGGAGAATCATGAAGCTCTCTCTGACGTTGGACGGGGCGTGTCGCGCCTGCAGCTGTCAACTTTCCGATAGCTCTTCATATGTACTCGGTATCACTGCGAGAACCCCTGCTGCAGCGTCACCGCCAGCACTGACGATGAATCGGGTCTTGATGCTCGACTCGGGTCGCCTCTCATCGCTTCTGACTGAGGCGCTCTCTTGGAGCGAGCATGTATCGTCGCTCTTGGTTTGTGCCGCGAATGGGTCGATCCTCGCCTACGCATATAGACTGCAGACTCCCAAAATCAAGCAGATTCGCACGCAATCTACGACCATGGCGACCGCCTATACGATAGCTTCGGAAGAGACTCTCGTGTTTGAAGCCCAGAACAACGGCGCGATATCTGTGATCACCCCCGTGGCAGACCGTGTGTTGCTGAGCGTGACTGGGCCGGAGCCCACGAAAACTGCACCGTTGCAGAATGGACATACTTCCAACCACGACGAGTCGGCTATCAACGGTTCGGCGCAGCACGAGGAGCAGGGAGAAGAGAACGAAGATGAAGGAGATACTGAGACGCAGCACGTCCGGGATGAGCTCGAGAGCGTCAGCCAGGAAGTTGTCATTGCCTTGAGAGCTGAATTATCTGCCTTGAGATGGCCAGATGACATATAATGGTGGCCCTCGGCTACAGCACATGAGCACCCTGAACCCGCGACCGTCTATGTCGAAGCTACAACTGCTGTTCTATGCAGTAGGCTCTCGGCCGAATGCTTCAGAGCAACGAAGCGCGAATGCAGGTGCCTTACACTAGCAGCTGCAGGGCTACCGCTCTCTCTGCCAAGTTCAGCGGCAGCTATCCGTCGCAATCTGAACCAAGCGCAAGCAAGCAAGTCGCTTCTCTGTTTGGATTGAGTGCCGACACAGGAGCGCAGCGCCCCCGCGTCGAATTGGGGGCCCCACGACCCGCCGAGAAAAAGCTCCAAGCAGCCCCGGGAGAATGTTGAGCGGTGCCGAGGCGCGCCTATGCACCATTTGTGGTGCCTGGTTGGACAGCTGTCACTGCCAGTTACTGCCACTCCGCCACCCCCCAGCATCTTCCATTTTCCACCTTGCTCGTACACAGTTGTCGATACTCCGTGCGAGTGAGCTGCTCCTTGATCGCTGGCGACGAGCGTGCATTTCGTCGACACCGCTCGCAATGTTGTATGTTCCAATCTCTCTTGCCCATTATTGCAGGCTTTCCACTGATTGCTAGGGCGCAGTGCCATCCCCCCTCCACCGCGATATCCCACCACCAGCGGCTTGGTTACCACAACCCTCGAGACTGCGAATACTTTGACCACTCGCGAGGGGCCAGAATACACGTTCCAGGTCGGCGAAGGCACATACGTGCTGCGCGATGACTTGCAATTAGCGACGCCGCCTCCACATCCCTCAGAAGCTCCCGTTATTAACCCCAACCCTCTAGCAACAAGCGTCGCTCCTCCCACCAGTGGTGTCAAGCTGTCGCTGGTGTCGTTGAACCCGAAACAGATTAACACCGACCTATATAGAACCACCACAGCAACGAGCAGCCTGCTGCGATGGAGATCGCTGGGGTTGAACAATTCCAAAGAGAGCAAGGAACCCAAGAAGGTGGAAGAGGTCAAGGAGATCAAGGAGATCGAGAAGGAGCCAAGAATATCCGTTGATAGTGGCAGTGACACCAGCAATCCCGCGGCATCTCAGAATGGCAGCAATAAGTCGAGCACGGCCAGACAATTCGGCGAGGGCAACGCCGCGCTTTCTCCGCTCATGACCAGAGACGGACTCAAACGCCGCAAACCTAAGAACAATATCATCAAAAGCAATTCCTCTTTTGTCTCCCGGGTGATTCCCCACGAGTCACTGGCCAAGAAGCTCCAAGAACGAGACCAGGGCGGAACTTTCGCCTTTGTCAACATCAACCGGGCGTTTCAGTGGCTGGACCTCTCTTCCAGCTCGAAACAGGACCCCATGACCAAGATCCTCTTCACCAAGGCCCATATGCTGTGCCATGATATCAACAGCTTGACCAAGCACTCGACGCATATGGACATCGTGATGGGATCTTCGGCTAGTGACATTATCTGGTACGAGCCCATATCACAGAAATATGCTCGCATCAACAAGAATGGCATGATCAACAGCTCGGCAGTCTCGACCATCAAATGGATTCCTGGATCCGAGAATCTGTTTCTGGCAGCCCACATGGATGGGACACTGATCGTCTACGACAAGGAGAAGGAAGATGCGCCTTTTGTCTCGGAAGAGCTGATAGACGAAGCGATCAGTATCGAAGACGAGGACCAGTCAACGCTGGTCATCAAGAAAAGTGTCAATTCGTCGAATCAAAAGTCAAATCCCGTAGCGTGCTGGAAAATTTCCAATCAAACTATCGCCGACTTCGCCTTTTGTCCCGACAGCAAACATCTTGCTGTGGTTGGAGACGATGGGTTTCTCCGTATAATCGATTATCCCCAGGAGAGGTAACGTTAATTACTTCCGTTCATTACTGGAAGATGGACTGACCGCCACCAGGCTTACCGACTTATTCTCGTCTTATTATGGAGGCTTCACCTGTGTATGCTGGTCGCCTGACGGAAAATACGTGCTCACAGGAGGCCAAGACGATCTTGTCACCATTTGGTCACTCCCTGAACGTCAGATAATTGCTCGATGTCACGGCCACGATTCATGGGTCACCGCCGTGGCGTTCGACCCGTGGCGTTGCGACGAAAGGACCTACCGATTTGGCAGTGTAGGCGACGACTGTAAGCTCCTATTGTGGGACTTCAGTGTGGGCATGCTTCACCGCCCGAAAGGTGTAAGTCCATCTGTCGCCGGCATGCACCGACTGGCACGGCTAACAGGGCAATCCAGGTGACTGCCAGGACCAGAGGCAGTATCTCAACCCAATCCATATCATTGCTGCGGCAAAGGACAGAAAGCACGAGCGTCGTCAACCGTCTCAGATCCGATTCCAATCGGACGGGCAGCTTCGTTCAGCCGGAGATTGTGGACGAATCTGAGTTCATGAATCATCCTGTCGAACCAAGGGCTCGAACAGCACTTTTACCTCCTGTCATGGTAAGTGGATGCTGATATAGCCGAACCGGCTGTTGCTCTTATATTCCCTAACACGGCGTCGACAGTCCAAGAAAATCGATGATCATCCATTGAGCGGCCTTGCATTCGAGCAGGACTGCATCATTACATCCTGCAATGAAGGTACGTGCTCCTCCACATTATAGAAGCCGTGTTGCATACTGACTACGTCGCAGGGCACTTGCGTACCTGGAACCGACCCCGGGAAGCACCCAACAGCAGCCAGATAGACCTATCGGAAAAGCCAAGGCCTTGAACCGAGACGCGAGCGTAGGAACCTTGTTGCACCAGCTCACGTGGGTCGCTTGCTTAGAAGCTATGCCTGGCCGGTGGTGGGAGCACGCCACCGGCTCCTCTTCGGCCTTGGACCGGCGCTCAAACCTTCAAAAGCCTCCAGCGTGGGAAACAGTCCATGATGCGGTTATGTAAATTCCGCGACGCACTGTCCTTCCGCATGCCAGACACATCACCCCATGACTGGTGCTATCAATCGAGCCCCGTCGGCTAGAAGCGTGCAACGCGAGACAGTTTGTAGCTGGCTCCCGTCCACGGACTGTGCCGAACCACTAAATGGGTGGGGGATCGTGCCACCCTTCTAGGCTGCTTCGGTGGTGCTTCTACGGGTTAGTTGGGTAGTGGACGAACAAAGTTTCTCATCGGCACCGTACTCCCGAATTTTGGCGCTGCTCCCATTTGTATTTGTGTCACTTTCCCCCTTCAGGTCGGCCTCTCAGGAAGAGCGCGGAGGCTCTATGGGCCAAGTGGGCTTCCTATGCTGAGGTACCATCGCTCCGAGTAGACTTGCCCGGGGCAGTTAAAAGCGCCCAGGAAAGACGAGCAGGGTGGGATGGCAGACGGCAGCTGCGGTTGCGGTTGAGCCACATTCTGCAGGGAATCTCTTCGCTCCTGGTTGGGCGAATGGCGGATGCAGAATCCCCAGGCGCCTGCGAGTTCACGCGCGTACACTCCGTGCTCGGTTCACCTGGCAGCGAAAAGGAGCGATGGGTGGTCACCTCATCGACTCCGGGGCTGTCTTTGTGCCTTACTGTGCATTTTGCGTGACCAGTGAGAGGGCGACTTGCGGCTTTTGTAAGATGCGATTGGGATCAGCTTGCGAGGGGCAAGATTCCTTTTCCAGCCCGAACGCTCCTCGCTGCTCCGGGGGCCCGGTGCTGTTGGAGAATGCAGAGTCCAGACATAGGGGCCTGCTCTGCTTAAAGGGCCGGCTTGATGCCTGGTGTGAGGTGATACGTGTGCCGACTGCAGGGGGTGCGCTCTCGTTCTCCTTTTCTGAGTGTGAGTATAGAGTAGGGTACATATCAATTTCATTCTCCGCCAGATGGTCCGATCCGTGTCATCATTTTGACAGTGTCGCCTTGGACGGGTTTGTTGCACATGCAATCGCACCAGGAGTCGTAGGTAGCCAATATTGCCATACGTTTTGACGGGCTGAAGAACACCGAAGAGAACATCACGTCACTATTAGCCTGACGGCTCACGGCTCCTGTTATCAGAGTTATCGATACCATTACCGCTATCAGCGCCAGCACGCCCTCCCGATCCTCGTCAGCCTGACCCTGTGTTTTCCGATCGCTTGACTGCCCATGTGCCCACAGTCCAGGTGATGAGATTATCGGAACAGATCGCTCCCTTCGGGCAGTAATCCTACTGAGACCAAGACAGCCGACGCGTGGAGCAGCTGGCCGTATCGAACTGGGCCAACGAAGACCTTCAATGCAGACATATCGACCGCCTGGAGCACGCCAGACTGGAAGACAAACAAAGACCAGGTGAAACATGACGCTTGGGAGCCGACGACCGGCGGGAACAAGTGCCAGATTACGAGAAGTCGCAGTTCCAGCACCAGTACATGGACCACTGGGTCCCCTTTCCAATCTCAAGGTAACGGCAAAGATCAGAGCAAAGGTCAAAGCACGGGCGCCCCTGGCAGCACAGGTCGAGGATCCCACAGCGGCGCCTCGAGGACAGCGCCACGTGCAATCTCTCTCGGCCAGCAGTCCGACATTCGTGGAACCTGACCAGCACAGACTTGCGAGCGAAGCAGCAACCAACATCAGCAGCAGCAGTAGCGGCGGCGGACGCGGCAGATCCCACACGACGTCCTCAGCGTTGACCACAGCGTCGTCCTCCAGCTCGATTCCAACCATTACCGTCACTGAAACAAGGATCAATTTTCCTGCACAGGAGGATCCACGGCAATCAGCAAGCTCGGTGGAGTCTGAGCGTATCGAGGCAGAAGCAGAAGCAGAAGCCGAAGTGGAAGAGTCAGGGACACGGTTGAGCTTCGGCGCCAGCACCGGCGGGCGATTGCGTGCCTCGGCGTCATCGGTCTCGCTATCGGGCAGTACGAGGACGAGGACGAGCCAGCAGCTCACAGGGCCAACATCGGCACCTGTCTCATCAGCATCATCTTCAGGTGTGGATTTGCATAGGGATCCACGACTGATAACAGTGAGTTCCCACGTTCCTCCCGTCAGCCACTCTCATGGCACCTTCTCAGCCATTGCCGCCTAGCACAATCGCCAGCCCCGCCTAAGACACCCACTAGGCTCGCCTAAGCCTTTTCTCTTGCACCCTCTGTCCACTGTTTGCACCGGTGTCACCGTCCCACCCAATTATCCGTTCAATCCCGCTCACTATCTTTTTCTTTCGCAATCATCATCTCGAAATTCTCCATGCATGAGGGCCTCTACGTATGAGTCGAGACTGTGAGGAAACCGCCTCAGGCCTGCCTTTCACTCTCTCTCTCAGCAGTCGTTCTTTTCTGATGGTCTTACACCAAACAGCAGATTAGGCCATTCCGACGCCTCAACCGCAAGCATTCACCTGAATGCGCGTCCGCCCAACATGAGCCAGTGTTGCGTCCTTCCTTGAACAACCGCCCTTCGAGTTCTTCCTCGGCCGCCTCAGCGGACCGTCACCTTCACGGATCTGCCTCCTCCAAGCCGCAAACAATGGCGCTCAAATTCCTCAGTGCTCATACCCCTCATTCTTCGGGTTCCAGCAGCAGTGTCAAGTACTTCGACATCCGGCTCGACAATGACTACATTGTGTTCCGAGGCAGCGAGGATGAGGCCGCCAGTGCCCATCTCGCCGGCTCTCTTGTGCTGTGTCTGACGGAGCCCATGATGGTCCAACACGTCGACTTGACATTGAGTGGAATTGTGCATATGTCGTGAGTCAAATGTACCCCGCGGCTGTTCCGGCCCCCGGTCGCCTCGCGTGATCACTTTCGCGCTGACACTGGGGCAGATGGCAGACCACCTCGACATCCTCCATGTCCGGGAGACGCACTTCTTACAAGGAGAAGACATTCTTCGAGAAGAGCTGGACCTTCCGAGATGCGGGCAAGGGAAAGACCGAAGTTCTGCAGCCGGACAACTACGAGTGGCCCTTCAGCACCATCCTTGAAGGGTCCTTGCCGGAGAGCGTCGAGGGTCTGAAAGACGCGTGGATCATATACCGGTTGAAGGCAGAGATCAGCCGGAAGAGGGGGAAGGACATTGTCATTCGGAAACCCCTACGTGTGGTCCGCACGCTGGACTCGAGTGCGCTGGAACTGTCTCACGCTATGGTAGGAGGCGCTTGTCATTAGGAGGTAGACTATTCACTAACATTCGGGACAGTCTGTCGAGAACATCTGGCCGAACAAGATCGAGTACTCCATCAGCATTCCCAACAAGGCCGTCGCCTTTGGTTCTTTCGTGCAAGTCGACTTCAAATTGATCTCGCTGCTCAAGGGTCTGGTGATCGGCAACGTTTCGACCCAGATAAAAGAAGAGCAAGAGTTTGTCGTCGATCCAGATTGGGCAGTGTCGGTCCTCAACAACGGAGTGACCAAGTCCGACCGGATCGTTGGCGCCGATCTCTACAAGGTCGATGCCACGCTGGACGAACAGGTCATCGACGAGGTTGCCGAAGGATACCAATTCTCCCGATATCTCGAGCTGCCCAAGTCGCTGAATCAATGCTTACAGGACTGCAACGTCAAAGGCATCAAGATCCGGCACAAGGTGAAATTCAACGTCCAGCTTCACAATCCGGACGGCCACGTCTCTGAACTACGAGCCAATCTCCCAATATCGCTCTATATTTCTCCGAGTCTGCCCATCAACGAAAACAACGACCTGGTCGATCAAACACCTCAAGCTGGACGGGCAGCCATCGCAAATGACCTGGCCAATGCGGCTCCACCGGTCTATGGCCAGCATACTCTTGATGTCCTCTATTCTGATGTGAGTGGTTATCGGACTCCCGGAACGGCCCTTTCGACTCCAGGCACGCCTTACTTACACAGCCGTCACGCGTCGTCCGACAATCTTGCGAGTCTCGCGGCGATGGCAAACGGGAACTACGTGTCACCTGCCGCACTGCAAACAAGGCTTCAAAACCTGTGGGTGGTGGATTCATCCATACAAGATCTACGAGGGAACGAAGATAGCGAGATCCAAAGCCTCGGACTTCCCGCCGAAGTACGGTCCAGGAGAAACTCAGCATCTGGCGCAAATCCACAGGATTACTTCCGCCCGCACGATGCATCGAACGGAAGCACGCATCCTCGCATCAGTCCCAATGAAGGAGGAATGAATTCAGACAATGCTTCTCATACACCCAGTTACCCACCCAGCAATCTCATGTCGCGAAGAACGTCTGAGGAAGAGGACGGCCAGATATCAGGCACGAGGACGCCATTCCCCCAGTATGACCACATGGAAGACCTGGCCAGGGTTCCGTCATATTCAACCGCGGTCAAAACACCGGCGCCCAGACAATTATCAGATCAATCTATCTCTCTGCCTACCTATGGCGCTGCGGTGACGGTACCCAGTCCGCCGGCGCTCGCGGAACCACCCTCGGCGTACATTCGTACTTCGCCCAGGCTGCCGGGCAGGATCACAGTGAGCTCACAATCACCGGACTCGCCCATCAACGGGGTGCCCCGGGGTTCGCTTTCTCATCGCAGTGTCAACTCTATCCAGGACGAGGAGAGGAGGTTACGAATGTTGCAGATGCGAGGCCGATGATTGATGAATTGATCTCTGTACAATTGTGCTTATGATTGACGACGAACAGAAATTTTCGTGAAAAGTCGTTCTGCTGTTTTCAAGCGGCGTCGGGCATAGCAGTCTGGAGATACCCGCGTGCGGTTCGAGAAAGAAATCTGCTTTTGACTGGGAACGAACAAGGTGTTTTGGACACGATCGACTCACCAATTTTGGCGTTGGGCGGGTGCGCGGAGTACACAGGCTATCTCACGATCCCGGGCCAAGGAACGGTTCTTTGAGCATTGGTGTCTTCACGTCTGGCATCACATGTCGTACGTCTCATGCCTTGGGTGTTTTGATTTGAGCTCAAGCGAGCGTTTGTCCCGGATTGGCGGATCTCAACAAAATCTGCTGCAAGAACGAAGATAAAGATGGAACGTCTCCGAGCATATAAACTTCGTTACTCGGCGAAGCTTGTTATTGCGAGCTTTGGCATGCTTCTTCATCGACGGCCTCCTACAGACATACCTACAGGGGTGGGGAGAAGAAAGTACTCTGTTCTTATAGCGAGCACAGTCCACCCCATTCATCAAACAACGGTGGGATGGAAGAAAGAAAAACAAGTCAAAAATCAGGATTTTTGGTCGTCGTGTTGCTTTACATGGCTAGTATTTGTGCCATGTACCGTGTAGGCCACAATCACTATTTGTTCGCATATGCGGCATCAACCCCTCTGCTGTGTACTGTATGTACTTGTGGTGCTGGTGCTTACCTAGCTAGGTACCTATCGCACGTGGGTACTTCCCACTATCTCCTTAAATCGGAAGAAATGTGAAAAGGGGGAGCAAAGCCAAGGCACCCCCCACCCGATGCTATGCGATACACGACTCGCGACATAACACATGCTCGGTCCAGTACATGACATGGTACACGAATTACTGGATATATATATATATATATATATACACTGTCGATATCCAGTATGTAGTTAAGTAGGTAAGGTCTTGTGAGCACACGAGTGAGGGAGGGAGAGAGCGGGATGTTCCTCTCTCCACCCCTTCATTCCTCCCCATCCCGGCACCTCCTCATCGAAGCCGAGCAGTACGAGGGTACATACCTATGGTCTCGCGCACGTCCACGACATGATTCGATACTAGGTATGTAGGCAGGGTAGGAAAGCGCACTCCATACAGCGCGTACAGCACCCAAGGCACGTCCCTACCTGGTACCTACCAACAACACCCCCTCCTGCCAAGTAACTCCCGAAACTCCCTCCCCAGGGCATCGATCACGACCTTCAACTCGCGCTGCCTCTTCCGAGCTTCCACCCCTATCCCTACTTCGTCGCGATTCTGACTCTGACTCTCACCTTGACTCCGACTCTGATCCTCCACCCTAATCTTCCCCCCCCTCGCCTCCGTGTCCGCAAACTCGACGAGCCGCGATCCGTCCACGTCCGTGGCGCTAGACTGCACGACTTCGGGACTGCTCGCGGCCTTGAGGCTGCCGTGCTGGGTGAGTGGCGTGATGGGCGTGGCGTCGAGCAAGGCCTGCCAGCGTGCCAGAAACGCGCCAGGACCGGGGCTCGAGGACACGTCCGCAGGGGTGGGCTGTTCTTTGATCTCGCGCGACGTGTCGCTTTGGGTTTGCGTTTCGGAGGCAACGGAGGTGGGTGTCTCTGCGCCGTCGCGGGTCGGAGATGGTGGTCGCGACGACGGCCGGCTCGACGACGAATGAGTCGGTGTGGAGGAGAAGATCTTGGCGATGTGCGGGTTCTTCGAGGGCGGTGACCTCAAAACCAATGCCAGTCTAGAGAGAGACTGCGCGTGCATCTCCTCCATGAAATTCGAGTGCGAGTCGAGGATGGGGAGGATGCGCGACCGGGTGGCCTCGTCGAGCGAGGCGAAGAGGTCGTGCAGCGCGGGCGTCAGGTTGCCGGCGCCGCCTTTGCCGTGCTTCGCTGTTGTGTCGTCGTGGCCATCACCTGGTTCTTGTTTGAACTGCGAGGCCGCGGTCTTGGCCCAGTCGAGATACCATCCCGTGAGCTCCTTGTCGTTCTTGGCACACTGGTGCATGAAGACGTGACATGACCGCTGGTGCTTGCGGAGGAGTTGCACAAAGTCGCCGACCGTCGGGACAACGGCCTTGTTCGTTTTGGGGTCGGTGCGGATCCGGGCGAGCTTGATAAGGTCTTTGAGGAAGTATTCAAAGTCCGAGAGCGTCGAGGCCAGGTCGATCGCCTTGTGCATCCTTCGGATGACGGGTTCGTAGGCATCGACCACCTCCCGGACTGACATTGTCAGATGGTCGGGCGTAGACTTGCAAAGAACCTGGACGAGTTGTCTGCGGTCGCGGACCGAGAGCTGGATGGACAGGTATTCGAGTGCTTGCTTGTGGTGCATGTCGGTCAGCTCGGTCGAAGGGGATTTGGCGTCCTTTAAGATGGCGGTGACGATGGAGATGGACTGCGTTTGGCTTTCTTTGCGTATCCGATCTTGCTCGTCTTGCGACTTGGTCGTGTACTCTTTCAGGGCGTGCAGTTGGTCTTTGCCGAGCTGCGCGCGTTCTCGTTCGAGTCTGGAGCCCCGTGCCTCGAGGTCTTTGATGTCCCAGCCGAGGACGGTGGAGATGATCCTGTGCTGAGGTTAGTCTATGTGGCCGAAGTAGGTACTATCACTCACGTCTGCATGAGATTGCTCCCCTCGTCCTGATCCTTGGTCAAGCCCATCCAGTTGGTGACGCTGGCGACGCTCATCTTGGCGAGCCCGACCTTGACCATGGCGTTGATCATGGTGGCCACGTTGCCGATCTTGAGGGTCTGCCGGAGAACCATGTATGGGACTAGCTTGTTGGCATTGTCCACCAGCTTCAGCAGATACTGTCCCTTGGGCGATAGGATAAGCGTATAGTGCATCAAGGAGGCGAGGCTGAGGTGATACACGGTACCCGGTCAGCAAGGACGGTAGATGCCTGATAGGATCGAGCTCACTTGACAAGCACAAACTCGTGCACGGCTTTGGTCAACTGAGGGTGGTCCCCGAGGTTGTCCGTCGTGGCCGTCTTCTCGACCATCCGATCGAGGATATCTCCATAGACGGACTCCTGCAGGAAGTCACGAAAGGCACGGCGCAGATCCTCGGCATTGGTCAAATCGTAGTGCTCGTCGTGATCCTTGATCCGTGGGAAGCCCGCAAAGGTGCCTCGGACGGGATACTCGATCAGAGCAGAGATGGCCGTCGCCAGCGTCTTGCGGCTGCCAATGACGCCCTTGTCGTAGCTCTCGCTCAGATTGGCTTTCTCCAGGTTCTCGATGATGTCGTGGCATTGCACGGTCCACCATTTCTCGGGGAGGTTGTTCAACCCGGGCAGATTCAACAAGTACCGTGACACAAGCGCCTGCAGGGCCGGTGAGCTGGATGGGGTGTCCTTGTGGGCTGTGAACGGGGGACCATATCTGGCAAGGCTGCCGGGTCTGCGGAACTCGCGTATCTGCGCGTAGGTGTCGTAATGGGTCAGGATGTCGAGTAGGGCCGCAGTCTGCGAAGGGGACAGCATTTCAGCCATCTGGAGGACTGATTTGTGCTACGAGACTAATCGTGACTTGCCCAGGAGGATTGAGGAGCCATGAAGGAGGACGAGGACAAGGACCGCGACACGCGCGACGCCGGTCATGGTGACGTCGTTGCAACGGCAGCCGCCACTCAGCATCGTGAAGCACGCAGCGAGCGACGCAGCTGAGAAGGCGCAACACCAGCCACAGTAACAATATTGGGACATGTAAATCTACAATATAGGTGAGTCGGATGATCCAATTTCAGCGCTCTCGCTGTAGCTGGCTTCTTGCAGCAGACGATGAGACGATACCGGTCGGCATGTCACAATTGGAGCTCCGACGGCCTCCGCAATCTCAACGGCGCACTGTCCTTCCTCCCTTTTATACTGGAACACGAGTCCCTCAGTGGCCCAATGCATATTTCCTTTCCGACTCCTAATTGCCTGACGTCACACGTCCATCCTTTCTGCCTCAGCCATTCGCCATGCTCGCCTTTCCGCAGATGCTTCCTCACCTCATCGACACCAATCCGCTTCAAACGCAACTTCTTGACAGAAAGCCCACTGTCGTCTTTCGGCTCGTCGTGCGCGGAGATCCAGCATCGTGCCATCACGGCCTGCGCAATCTCCGCGCCGCCGTACATTCCCGTCATAATATTCCCGCCTAAATACCATGGGTTCTGAGCGTAGTCGAATGAGTGTAATAACAATGTCAGAGGTAATGCGCCGGGCAGTCGCACGAGGTGATTCTCAATATAGGGCTGTAAGTCAGCCAGCGGGAGGCCATGCGGCGAGTATATTATCGACACTGCCTGAGGACGGGCCGGAGTAAGCGGTGTAATGAGATTAGGCATGGAGGAGACGCTGGAGAGTGAGCGTTGGTGGGAGGGGACGGAGGAGGTGCACCGTTGGTGGAACAGGGGGCTTGTTGGGCTGGAGGATGTAGAATTACTTGTAGGATCAGGGTGCGAACTGAGTGACTCCCACGCCGGAGAGTCTGGTGGCGTTGGTGGGCTGTTGATATATGTGAATGGTGAGGGACCGAATTTAAAGTCGAATGCGGAGTTTATGCGCGGAGAGCGATCGGGAACAGTCACGAGGTTGTGTACAATGGTTCCCTCGTCGCGCTCTGACTCCGCCGAGACTCGAATGACTGGCTTGTCAGTCGATGGCAGGAACTCGGATGAAGCCGTGTTCGATGACCGGGACAGTCGTGGTCGATGTCCCCTGAAACTGGACGGGCCTACACTTTGGAGAACTTCGTCGCTCCGAGCAGGTTGGTCGAAAGACATAGGTCGGTTTGCCAGAGGAGTTACGGGTGGCTGAGGGCTTGACGGTGGTACAGTCATCGGACTCAGCGGTACGTGGAAGTATCTTGTCGTCTTGGGTAGATCAACCGTCGCCATCGGCGCTATACTTTTCGTACACGTAGGCGGCCGGTATGTAACTCCAATCGCGTTGTGTAGTCCGGTCATATAGTGCTTGGCCGGGATGAAAGAAATGCTGACTTCTCCTGAGAAGCCGTCGGGCGACAAGGCAGGGATCGATAGTCGCAATGACCCTCCTGACTTGACTTTGGCGTCATATTTACGCAGCCCCCGGACCTTGGCCGGGTCGAAATGGTTCCAGCTCTTGATCGCCTTCGCGGCGCCTGGTTCTGCGGCGATGATGGTCTTTCCGTCGGCGGGCAGCTGGAGGAGAGTCGCTTTGTGACAGTGGTCCGGCTTGTTCTGCGATACGATCACAACATCGAGTGCTGGGAGCTCGGAGAGGTGCTGGACCGCGCTGGGGATTTTGTGTTCAGTCTTTGCGAACCATGGCGCGGTCACGATTGAAGGTCCATCCAACCACGGGTCAATAAGCAGAGAAAATGCGCCATCAGTGGCCGCGACTTCGGTTGTGGGAGAGTTTGGCCGGGGGGAGAATGTGAGGAGAAAGCTCGTATCGGCATTGAGGTGTTTCACGGTCACAGACATGGAGGGTTTCGCGGTACCGAGGGTTTCAAGAAGATGCCGTACATAAAGCCATTGCCGTCTGGATCCAGCATCCAGCAAGGAGGACTTGGTGTTCCGAGAAGGAATGTATTACAGTCGCACGACTGAGACACGAGGCCAAATCTGTGACTTACCACGTACGTAGTTGTTCTCGCTAAGCACTGGGTACAGCCTCCCCAGAGTGGCACTTGGCTGGGCATTCGAACTCATTCGTCATGATGCGGAGGCCAAAGGGAGCACAAGCCAGGCACAGAGAGAGTGCACAAGGGTACGAACAGGAATGGAAGCCAAAGTCGGAAATGGTCAAGACGACGCGAGATTGCATGCGCCTCATCGCCGCCATTGCGCAGGCTCAGGCTGGAGTTGCCCTTCAGGCGCCCTCCACCCACCCTCGGGGGCCTGGCATTGCCAATAACGACAGGGGCCACCGGCGCCAACGGGCTCCACCACGCTTCGACCTTCAGTTACAACGGCCACTTGCAGCCTTATTTCGAGCCGAGGCTCTTTAGTGGAGATGGTCTGGCAACTTGCCACGTGACTTGCCTACCCCTCCGGCCGGATTTCAAGTTTCTTTCAATACGAGTGGTACTCTGTCGTCGTCTACTCTGAAGCCGGTGACTTACGAGTTGACAAACAGAACACGCCGGCAACAATAATGCCGACTCTCACGGAACAGCTCCGCTACTGTCCTCGCTAGCAAACCTCACTGCTCCACAGCGACTACGACCTTCTGTTTTCTGAGCGAAGCCTTGACCGGGTGCGGGTCGGCGAAGATATCGTCTGGAATTCTCGGTCAGTCCTGTTCGCCGAAATTGAAGGACGGGAAGCAAGGTGTCATGGGCTTCCTTACCAATTTCTTCCAATGAGCGGCCCTTCGTCTCCACAAAGAACAAATAGATGAAGACAATCCCCGAGACGTCGACACAAAGGTACAAGATATAGAACTTCCATCCGCCATTCGTCATCCCCACCGGAGCCGCGTAGGTGTTGATGAAACTGACAATATTCAACCACAAGCCGCTCATCGCGAGGCCCTTGGCGCGGGCATTGTACGCTAGTACCTCGGCCGGGTACAGGGCCTGACATGGGGTCCAGACAAAGGCGAAGGCGAAAAGGAAGACGTAGACGAAGCTGATGCCCACCAGGCCAAGGGCGTGATGTTGGTTTTGCAACGCGGAGCAAATCACGAGCATCAGCACACAGAAAGAGCAAACGCTGCTGGAGCCCATGAGCATAGGGCGACGGCCTCAGAAGAGTATTAGCAAGTTTCCTATCGTGGATGGTATGGGACGGGGCAACTCACCAGCAATATCAATGAATCTGACCCCCAGCAGAGTCCCAATGGTCATGATTGGCGATTGCAGGGCGTTCATGAGAAGGCGCTGCTTCTCACTGGTCACGCCCGCGTTCTGCGCCATGAGCGGCATGTAGTACGAGGTCGGTGGGAGATCGATCTGGCCGAAGAAGCCGACGCAAAGGACGAGAAACATCCGGTGGCGGGCACCGCGGGAGTTGAAGAGCTCGCGATAGTCGTACCATCGCTGTTGTCATAGGAAGCGCATTGTCAGCAGAGACTCTTGGCGTCACCACTCATCCGCCAGAAGCGCAAAGGGAAGTTTCTCACCTTGTCGCTACCGCTTGTGTTGACACGGTCGCGCATCTCATCCATCTCAAGTTGTACGATCTCGTGGTTTGGATCGCCCTCGCCATGGTATCTGCATCGAAGTGATTAGCTCCTGAGGCCTTGACCGATGACAGAACAGCCACCACTCACTTGGTCAGAATGGCGTGAGCCTCCTCCTCGCGACCACGAGACATCAGCCAACGCGGGCTCTCCGGACAGAAGAATATGAAAGCCAGCACAATGATACAAGGAGCCGCCTGGACAGCCATGGGCAACCTCCAATTGAGCTCGCCCTTGGTGTCGTTCACGATGCCGTACTCGAGCCAGGTCGAGACGATAGCGCCTGTCGGTCCCGAAGATCAGCGAGGGGGTCCCAGACTCAAGGAACAAGGAGAAATTTTACCAATGAAATAGCATCCGTTGTATAGACCCATCATCACGCCTCGGTAAGCAGGGTGGGAGATTTCAACCGTGTAAGACTGAGCCGACGGCCCCAGCATGACCGAGCCGACGCCAAGCACGATTCGGCCAGCGATCATGTCTCGCCGACGCATGGCGGCCGCCTGGACAGCGCTTCCGATCAAGACGACAATGTTGGCGATGAACATGCCACGCCGCCGCCCGAAAATGTCGGCCAGCGGGCCGGCGACAAAACTGCCGAGCACGTTCCCCAGGATGTACAAGGCGGCCAGGAAGCCGTTGTTCGCGGCGACGTTGGTGCCGAAGCGCTTCTGAAACTCCGTCACGCTGGACACGCCACCGAAGGTGTTGCCATCGAAGCCGTTGGCCGCCGAGTTCATAAACGCCACGAAGAGGATGGGGTACAGGCGGAGGAGCGACTTGGACCACGGCGAGGCAGCATCCTTGTGCCGGGCGATGACAGCGGCGAAGCGGGAATCTTGGGTCTGCACGACTTTGGCTGTCTTGCCGAAGGCTTGGATCTCTTCAATCTCATTGTGAATGTTGGAATCAACGTTCTCGAGTTGAGAGACACCAATCTCCTTTTCGAGACCGCTTTTCTCCGCTGCCATTGTGACTAAGGTTGCGACAGCCGCTTCAGTAAGAGCGTGTGGGTGGATGAGAGACAGGAATGGATCGTGAAAAATCCATCACAGAACGAGATGCCAAGTTATATCGATCATGCCTACCTTGTACCGGTCTAGTCGTGTAGACTGGTAAGCTGGGGAAGCCCCACGATGGAACCTGCCAAAAGTCCGGAGAAACAGGCTAAAACGGAACCATAAGTCGGTAGAGGCTCCGCGCTCAAAGTGGTAGATGCATTTCTCAAGCTATGGCAGTTGTTTCGAGTCCAGAAGGCCATGTTCGGGGAGAACCTCGAACGGCACACGGCACGGCAGGACGGCGCGGCCAAAGCTTGGTTGTGGGAGGCCACTTGTGTCGCTGGGGTTAGCGTGAAGTAGGTATATACCCCAGTACGGAGTAACTGGGGAGGGGAAAGTAGTTCGCGAGGTTCGTTAGCTGAACCGGTCATTCCCCGACTCTACTCCTCATCACCATCGACATACCCGGTAGAATAGGAATTCTAGGTCGATGGTTCATCCATCTTTTGCCACTTTTCAAGGCTATAACCGAGCGGCTATAGCCTATCCCAGTGCCGATGGCAGCTCATGCTCGTCGTGACGGAGACCTCTTCGTCCCAATTTTTGACCCTCTGATCCCCTCTTTTGAGCGGCGTCATTGCGACCAGGAACCCCAGGCACTTACCAGTACAGAAGGACCGGTATTCAGCCATCAAGGGAGGATCCCCCGGTCAAGACTTTTAAATGGTTCGGTGAAGAGCCGGTGGCGCGCGGTCCTGCGTCTGAGTTATCCCGCTTTCGAGCATCGACAGGACATCAGGTGAGTAGTGTGGTATTCAGCTGAACGGCCAAACCTAGGTTAAATGTGTATGCAAATCGGAGACTCTGGTATAAAATGTCCAACACAGATATGTGGTCGAAAGGATATGCTGTGATATCGGAGAAGGATTCTGTGCCGGTGGACAGAAGCACGAAGATTAGAGGGAATGTTCGGAGCAGCCCATGTGGACGTACTCTGATTTCTTGGTCTGATTAACTTTGTCTACCATCTCGTTTGCCCTCAGTTTCCTTTGCTGCAGTGGTCCGGTTCCATACCTATTTCGATCGACCCCTCACAGCGAGCAAGAAGTCGATGTATAGGCCAGTAATCATCGCTAATGGACGGATTGGTCGGCCCTAAGGTTTGTACAACCACTTCGACGATCTCACCCTCGCCGCGATATCTTGGACTGTAGCCCGCGACACAAAGGTAGTCGTCGTGGTCTTGCAGCCAGAGGAGTATTTGCCCGGGTACTGGTGTGGTTCTTAACATACCCAGGCACAGAAGCGCCGAAAGAGTTTTGCCCCGTAGAATTCAGCAACACAAGAATAGAAGGTTCGTGCAGGGGTCAAACAACAATCACCCTGTTCAGCAGTACTCGTAAGTCCGAAACGGGTCAGTTATTAACTCGACAAGCCAAAGCGTTGGCTTGGAAAGGATAAGTAGCTTGCAGCGCAAGTGACTCTGCATGAGAGTCGCGGTCGCTGAATCGAATAATAGACTCACCCAGCGTATAGGTTGCCAGCTCTACCATGAATGTTTCGCAGAGATCGTGTATAAAAGCAGTCGGACAAACGCCGCGAGATATTGCTTGGCAACTGAAAATGAGTTTGAAGGGGTCGTAGGTCGCGTAAGGCGCCCCGGCGTACGAGGCTAGGGAGGTTACCTGAAGGCCTTCCTGATAACGGTAAGCGGCGACCTGTTTCCTCCGGACCGCTTCCCCCAAGCACCTAGTCGCGCGTCTGACCCTGGACCTCATGGGGAACCGTACAAATTCACGTCTTCCGAACAGAGTCACACGAGCTGCTCCTACAAACAGGTCAACGACGGCCACCCCTTCTTGTCCTGTTGGCGTTCACAGCACCCCTAGCACACAGTACAGTGTGGCAGTCGTTGGTAACATGGTATAACGATGCCGGGATAGTCCCGTCTAAGACCCCCCTATTGCCGAATATGTATACAATCGTTTTCTGCGCTCTTCAGGCTGCCAACATTTCTCCTCCGGAGTACAGTCCCACCGTCAGCTCCATCCGTTGGACTCGATCTGCCGTTGCACGGGCCACAGCCGCGTCTTGAGCAACAACCGCAAGCCGGGCGACAGCCACATCACGGACCACCGCTGCATCACGAGCAACAGCCACATCCAGGGTCCTCCACAGCAGTGCCAGCAAGGTTGCCTTCGGCCACTGAGGGCCCCGCTAGGGCTGCCGGACGGAAACCTGAGCCTGTCCATTATGACTACCGACCGCCAGATCGCAGTCGCACTTCGAGTGGGATAGGCAGGTTCTGTTCTCTCTGCTTTCTCAGTTCAGGGCGGCAGAGCATGAGGTTGAAGAGCAAACATAGATCAGCGGCACCACGGGAGGAGGTCTCATCACTCGTATACCCGAATGCTGGGTAATGGTGAATCCATCATCTTACTGTGTGAAGAAGCTACTGTACACGACTCAATCACAGCTTGTTCGGGAACAATGGCGCGTTGCGCCCGCCGCGGAACAGTTCCAACATTTCGGGCCCCATCCAGATCTTCCTGGATGTCGCAATCCCTTTTTCCAGATCCGCGACCCGTCCAGCCTGAATGAGCAAGCCCTTCCCGTTCCCCTCCATCCCCAAGCTCATCAGGTACACCACAGCGTTTGCAATCTCTTGGGGATCATTGATGGGAACACCCACTGCCCTCATCCGCTGCGCCCAGTCTGAGAGCGATTCGCCCGGTTTACGCCCTGAGATGATGTCCGTCAGAGTGATGCCCGGCGCCACGACCGACACAGCAATGCCCAGCGTGGCGGTATCGTTCTTCAGTGCTCTCATGAGGCCCACGATTCCTGTTCGCTCTATCAGCATCGACGCGATACCAAGACATGTCGTAGTAGTTTAGATGAGTTACATACCATGTTTGGCCGCCGAATACAACGGAGCCCCAGCACTAGCCAAATATCCCGCCAGACTGGCCGTCATGACGATGCTGCCACCGCGTTTCTTCTCCGGTCCCTTCTTCCTGATATAGTGGATGGCAAGCTTGGCCGTGTCGTTCGCCGCATGCATGTCGATGTCGACCGTCCGTCGATCCGGCTCCTTTAGCAACCCATCCGCGTCCAGCTCGTCCTTGAAGAACTGGTCCTTGTATTCGGCAATCCCGGCGTTGACGAAGACGCAGTCGATCGCCCCGAACTTCTGGACCCCGGCCTCAAAGGCTGCGCGCTGCTGTTTCCACGACGTGATATCACATTGGTGGTACAGAAAGCGGGGCGACGAGGTCAGCGACGTGGGCGCTGAAGGGGAGGGTCGTGCCCTGTCCACCACGATGACATTGTTCCCGAGCTCGTGGAGCAGTATTACCGTTTGTAGGCCGATGCCCGAACTGCCCCCAGTGACGAGGACGGTGCTGTCCCGCGGCCCTGTGAGCTTGTCGCGTGAAATGGTGAATGCTTCGTTGGCCATGCTTGAGATTCTACTCAGACAATTACCGTGGAGTCATAAGCATTTGTTTATGTATATATTTATCGCAGCGCAAGACGGTTGATTGAAGCCGTGGACACCGGGACGAGTAGTATGTACCTACAGTAGTGTCCTTCCCCGCATTAATCTCGGCCTCGTTGGAGTCTATTTGGCTGATTTGCCTCGGATACAGATCGGCCGGGGATGGTGCGAGGTGTTACACGGGACTGTGTAGAGCGCCGAACCCAAAGTTTACGTGGGAGAATCGCAGATGCGACGGCCAAGAACTTGATTGACCTACCTAGGTGTATCTAGTGATACACAAGTACTATGTCTTGGCTATTTGCCCGAGACGTTTGTGGTAGTTCAACTCCCCAGTGCAGGCGCAGAATCGTCAAGGATAGCGGCGCAATCGACACCGAACGGCCAACTCTTCGCCTTTGTCGTCATATCTGTTGTATCTTGTACGTGCTTAGTGCCATCATGCTAGCCAGTGAGGTATCGCTGGGACATCTGAGCGTCAGAAGGACGTTTGATTAGTGGTGTACTCCGTACCAGCGGTGTGGTCCAGTCGTGTGCTCCGCCGCAATTCTTCGGAGGCCGACCTAGCATCTAACGACAATTCGAGGGTCGTCCAGTGGAGGACCAGGAGGCTGCCTGAGGTCTCCACCATCGAGATTAGCCGATGCACTAATTCTCGCTAGTGAGTCGGCGAGACCGATACGAGGGCAGGCCAGAAAGTCAAAAGCCGTGCCCCTGCGTTTGCTCTCTCAACCTCACCTCACTTTCTGTTCACCTGCGAGGCTCCAGGTCAAACCAGAGAAGCAGAACAACAAAGCAGCAGCCTTCTAAGACGTGAGTTGCAGGCTGAAACTGGTAAGAATCAGTCGCCCGAGGATCGCATGTGTATTGCCTCTTCCTAGTCTGGCTTTGCCTCTTGTTGTTGCTCGTTTGCTGTTGTACTTTCGGAAAGAGCTTAACGCTGTTACGTGCAACAAGCTACGCGAATTCCAGACCTTTTCCGCCACGTTGCTTTTAACGTCGCTAGGATCTTGCTGCCGCTATCGTCCTCCACGTGGCTTGACCCTAAAGCACAACATCTCCCCTTCACGGTTATCCGTACTATGTATCCTATCATGAGACGCGGCGCCGTGGACCCCAATCTACACCTTTTCCATTTCCGTTAACTGCTCTTCCAGCACCGGCACTGCGATGCAAAGTTTGCACCCTTCAATTGCGGAGTCTCGTTTTGAGTTATGGACTTGTGAGACACCATCTCGTGGCGGCTGGCTGTCGCTCAATCGTAGCGACGAATTGCTGTTTCGAACATCGCTAATCGTCGCAAAAGGCATCGGCCTCGATGGCCAACGCTGTGGAAACTGATATGGCGCCGAGAGCTGTCGAAACTCTGAAAGGGGTTGGAGGCATATCATACTAAGCGGAAGGCAAAAATATGGATCCTGTTATAAGACACCAGCAGGAGTCTGTTAGCGGTAGGTCGCCTTGCTCGACTTCTACACGAAGGGTTGCCAGATTCACAACTACATTCCGTCCGGACGATTGATACGACCACAGGTATACCCGTGGAAGCGACAACCTGTCGACACCTCAGTCCTATGGATTCTCAGTGAGCGGCGTCGGGCCAAACGTATACGCACTCCCCACGAAGCAGTCTCGGGGTTTCCCACGCCTGTTCGGCCAGCATGTTCTCGATGAGATGGCGAGATCATCAGTTGGTGTTACCCGAAAGGGTGCGGCCAGGCAAGAGGAAGCAATACCGGCCCTTGATGACGAGTGCCCCGGTGTTGATGGTCTTCTTGGTTACGGTTATACTGAGTTTTGTGTTGTTGCAAAATATCGTCGACAGTGGAACACCCGTCAATTCTCGGAATGACACGAGCGACAGCCAACATCGACGATTGAAGCGGGCTGTTGAGGTCACAACAACCCAGTCTTCCGTCACCTCATCTGGCGGACAGGTCGAATCTGTTGCACCGACTGCAGCAACTGCTTCGACTGCGCTACCCAGCGTCCAGTCTGTGTCCGATAACTCTTCTGCACATGCAACTCCTAGCCGAGCATCTAATACCGCCGCAATTAACCCTCGAACCGCGACGGGAGACTGCACTGCTCAAGCCAATGTGTTTACAGTGAGTGATGGCGACCAATTTGCCAAACATTGTGGAGAATACTGGTACACTTATGATGTGATTCAATCTGCTGCTGGCTCCGACTACGCGTCGTGCGCGGAATTGTGCTCGACCACTGCCGGATGTATATCGATGCTATTCGTTGGTCCTCCAGCCACTTCAAGCCCGAGCTGTATTTTATACTCAGGGACGACCGCCCTCTATGCCGGTGCCAGCCAGGGCTACGATAGTGGCGTTAACTTGGGTCCTCCCCTGGTGGCAAGCTCTTCGACCTCGAGCTCCACGAGCAGTTCAAGCATGATCTCGGCTACCTCAGTTTCAACTTCAAGCAGCACCACATCGCTATCGTCCTCGACAACATCCACCACGACCCTAACCAGCTTTGCGGATACCAGCTCCACATTCACCAGCCCGGCGGTTACCAGCTTGACGGCTACCAGCACGACCGAGCTCTCCGGACCGACATCAACTACATCCTACACCTCCACTACGGGGACTCTTTCGACGGATGACGCAGTCTCAACAACTACAGCGGCGACCTCGACGTCTCAATCCGCGTCGTCCAACGTGGAAACCAGCACCACCCACACGATAGTACTCAGCTCCACTACCTCAATTGCCACTACCACGTTAGTATCGGTCAGCAACAGCCCGCTTTCATACGACTCGTCGACGGAAACAGTGTCCTCGGGCTCGACCACATTTGCACCATCGACCACTTCGACAGTGTCGGGGCCAGCTGACTCATATTCCTCGACCCTTCCCAGTGCCACGACAACCAACCTTTCCATGACGACCGACCTCTCCACATCATTGGCTTCACTCAGTGCAGTAACACCAGTGCCAGACTCATTTGCTTTGTCGAGTACTTCCTCCACTACCACATCATTGACATCACTCGTCGTTACCACAACATTATCACAATCGTCGCAGTCGACGTCAACTGAGTTGGCACACACAAGCTCGTTAGCATCACCAGTCGTCTCTTTCAGCCCTACGACTTCACAGGCTCTTCTGGTTCTCTCCACAACAAGCAGTACAACATTTTCTACACTTGCACCTTTGTACGGTAATACCACTACTGCTTCGCCGACGAGTCTGGTGTCCTCGACTCCTCCAACCACTACATTTACGGATTCTTCCTCATTCCAGCTGTCAACTACAGCGGTGCCTATTACAGAATCTCCGTCCGCCAGTCCTGCGGACATTACTCATTCAGAGAGCTTTAGCTCTTCGGTATCGTCCTTTGTTGAAGTTGTAACAATAACTACAGCCTCGGTATCCTCTTCCTTGGAATCTACAGACTCACATGCAACAACTCCGCAGACTACTACGCTAGTTACTTCTACCATCATATCTAGCTCTGTTTCCTCGACTATCGTAGCGGAGACAAGTACCCCAGATTCTCAGCTCTCCGTTTCGCAATCATCCCTCTTAACGACGCCTATCGGCACTTCGTTCAGCTCCTCCCTGTTGGCGGTGACTACTAGCTTCACAATCACTTCATCAACTACCCCACAGTTCACGTCCACGTCTACGGCAAGCAGCTTAACCGATGCAGCTGGTGCCGTCGTGACACCGATATCGAGTGATTTCCAGCCTGCTAGTTCTACCGCTGATGCCACGACCGTGGCTGGTACAAGCCAAACCTCCGGCTCGGACGTTCAGAGTAGCGCGGCGACCACCTCAACGGAGTTATCTTCCCAGCCGGCCACAAGTGCAAGCTTTTCGGATTCTAGCAGTGAGAGTGCTATAACTAGTGCTAGCGAAACTGCTGCGACCTCTGCAAGCGAGACCGCTCCCAGTGCCACGAACTCCCAGCAGTCAAGTGCCGCATCTCAAGCTGAATCATCTCAGGCATCTTCTTCCGCCAGTTCAGCGACTTCTTCAGAAACGACTGGTGCGGTGGTTGCGGCGGTGGCAGATCAGACATCAGTGGCGTCGGCGTCGGCACCTGCGTCTGCATCAGCTTCAGATTCTGTATCTCAAGGAGCAGCCAGCGATAGTGCGAGTCCAACCGCCAGTTCCAACACCGATGCCACTTCGGACACGGACACAGACACGGGCTCAAGCAACCCGGACAACAACAACTCGGACAACAACAACTCGGACAACAACAACTCGGACAACAACAACTCGGACAACAACAACTCGGACAACAACAACTCGGAC